GGCCGAGCAGATCACAGGTGAGCCCGCGTGGGTGGGGCGGCCGAGGCGGGTGCTGCCGGGGCGCGTAGGAATCCCGCCGCTGACACACACCCTCTCTGTGCCAGACCTTGTCTTCTGGGCTCTGCTTCTGGGGAGGAACCTGGGGCGCAGGGATGTCAGCACTTGGGAAACACACCCTTGACATTTCTTATTTTGTTTTTGCTTTCTGGGCAGGACCCAATTTTGACTACCAGCAGTTTCATGACCCAGATGGTTACTCTGACTTGGCCAAAGGAATGGTGATTTTTCCCATTCCATTCGGTCAATGAACCACTAGGGCAGGGTGCTGCCCCTTCGTCACCCCCAGCCCCGTGGCATCTTGTGCTTGGAATGTTCCTCTGAAAGAGGAATTTGGATCCGTGTGGGGACCATTGACCGCCTCTGGGCCGACAAGCTCATTTCTCTGTGACACAGTGTTTCTAGAAAAGCAGAGGACTAGGGAATGCACTCGGAAGTGTGGAGTGCCCATTCAGTGGTTGCTCCATGCTCCCTGCAGCATTTGTTCTGAGACGGTTCTGAGGGAGGACATGTTGGGGCTGTGGTTGTCCTGTCTCATCACTTAGCACCCTCATATCGGGGAGCAGCTAAGGTCCCAGAATGGGCTAGAGGGTTTCCTAGAGGACTAAGGAGTTCGAGGAGAGCATTGGCCAGTGAAGCCCCACTGACATTCCTTAGGACTGAATGACAAGCACATGGACCGGGCGCTGCCGTTTCTCCCCACCTGTGCCCATGGCAGACACAGCTGGTGGGTCATAACATTCTCCCGTTTGGGACCTCTACTTGGCCTATGTATTTTTCTCGACTGAATTTGCAAGGAAGTCTCTTCTGTTTCCTCAGAATCGATGCTAGGGATGAAACCTGTTTTCCATCTCTGCCTTAGGAGGGATTGGAACCAATTCACACCTGAGTTAGAAGCAGAAGAGCTACTGCAATAGTTGAGAATCAAGCCCGTTGTTTTCTGTGGCCTAAGTCAGTGCGGTGATCAGGGTTGCGGCGGACGATGGGTATGTTGGGTCCCGAACGAGGCTGGCTTGCAGTGCTTGCCTGGAGGAGGGCAGCTTCTCCTCATTCACACAAGGGAGCCCTTGCAACGATCGCGGAGAGTTTCTGCACCGCTGCGTGCCCAGCATCCACCCACGTGTGCCCTCAGGACTGCTGGGGCCCGGGTGGGCCGCTGGGTCACCAAGCCTCCTGCTGCGCAAGAGCTTCAAACTCCTTTCCCAAAAACGTTCTCCTAGGACGAAGCCTTACTATCAAATGGTTCCATCGAGAGGGCTAGGGGTCCGTGCTGATAAGGCCATCATAGGTTGCTTTTCAGTAGAACTTAAAACTTTATGATCTGTACCTGCCTTTCAAAAGCTTAGTTTCCCTTCAAGATATAGCTTAAAAAAATCCATCTCCTCAAAATGCATGTTGTCTTTCACCAACTATTGACATAAAACCCCAGCCATTCCTCGGCCTCATTGATTTCATGTCTTCGCTCCCTGCAGCAGTGTGATAGCCGTAGGAGTTTGTGAATCTGGCCCCTGAATGCTCACATTCCTGGAAGCAAACATCTACTATAAATCAGCCCTAGAGGAAAAAATACTGTCTGTGGAGTTGTTCACAATATTTTTTTGATAGCTTAGTATGAAGAATGCCAAAATCACTTATTTAGGCCAAAGCTACTTTTTATTTTTAATTTTTTAAAGTAGTTTTATTCTTGTGTTGTCCTCTGAAAAGATGAATGGCAGAGGGCCAATGCCCATCAGCTAGGAATACTTGTTTTGGAAGAATAAGTCAGTGAAGTAGAACATACTGGAAGAACTCAGTCCAGTACTGGCCTTGTCTGTAGGAACTGGTTTTCAGGCAGTAACGGCTTTATTGCAGCTTGTGGTTTGAGCTCTCTATTTCATTCTCCAAGAATGTAGAAGATCAACATGCTCCCTGGAAGCAGCGAATATGGAGGGCCTTTTTGAACTACAACTCATAACTTCTTAGTGTTCTAGACAGCATCTGGAAACTTGAAGGCCAAGTCGTCCTCAGGGTGTTTGTGGCTGAGGCTTGGGAGGAGCCAGAGTGAGCCTGTCAGCAGATGGGAGAACTTCTGGCCTCACCCTCCTCCATCAAGCCCAGTGTACTCTGAGTGCAGGTGTTTCTTTCCTTAAAATTTTTTATTGTTATGTTAATCACCATACATTACATCATTAGTTTGTGATGTAGTGTTCCATGATTCATTGTCTGTGCATAACACCCGGGGCTCCACGCAGAACGTGCCCTCTTTAATACCCGTCACCAGGCTAACCCATCCCCCCACCCCCTCCCCTCTAGAACCCTCAGTTTGTTTCTCAGAGTCCATCGTCTCTCATGGTTCGTCTCCCCCTCCGATTTACCCCCCTTCATTCTTCCCCTCCTGAGTGCAGGTGTTTCTGATTCTAGACTTCTTTAGTCACACTTACATTTTTATGAGAAAAATATTCCCATAGAGTTTCCATACTCATATACATGGCTATACATGTATACACACACACACACACACACACACACCCCCTACTGATAGACTCAAACACATATGATCGACAGGTGTATTCCAGTAGTTTAGAACCATTCATTATCAGTGCCACTGTGTTTTTCTAAATGTTGGGGCTTGAAAAAAAAAGCCGAATGAAGAAGTATCATATTTGTATTTTCCAAAAATGATGTATTTGGGCAGAGGGTGGTGGTGTAGAGTGTTCCTTCAAGTGGAGGAAGGCTGAATTGGGGAGGAGGACTCTATAGTTGTGACATTCATAAGTCTTGTTAGTCGTGCCGTGTCTCTTTCAAGAAACCGTTCACTTTTCTTTTAAGTAATAAATGCTTGGGGCTTATTTAGCCATAATGAGGGCTTCACATGTTTCCCTTTGAATGCGAATTGTAAATCAAGTGACCGTTGCTCATTTAAAATGTGGTAATGCCCAGTCAGGACTGGTCACACCTTCTGGGAGGTCTCCTTAAAAGAGGACCAAGGATTGTGTGTTTCTCTCTTCAAAAATAGAATCGATTCCTCTCTGTAGTTAAAGTTGAATTGCAGAGAAGGGACTCCCGGTGAATTTCCATTTCTTGACTAAGTCTAAGCACATTTCCAGCTAACGGGGCTTTGTACTCTCTACAGAGGGAGTGAAGTGCATTTGCAATCAGCTTTCACTCACCACTAAGATCGATGCGGAACACCCTGAACTCAGGAGTTATGCTCAGAGTCAAGGCTGGTGGACGGCAGAGGATGAGTTCAATTTTTCTGAAGTTTTTTCTTCAGCTGATGACCATCTAGACTGCTGTGCAGGCAAAGACAGCATGGACCAGAAAGAAGGTGAGTTTGCATACCCCTGGGACTCTCCTGCTCATACCTGCCATCTCTAGCTGTTTCAGAGAACTTGTCTGATCTTAGGACGGTGAGCCAAGAGGAGGAGATGAGAATAGACCCTGTACATAGAGACCGACCTGTGCTGACGCCCCCGAGGAGCCGGCAGGGTGACGACGTGTGTCTCTTGTTGTAGGACGCTTCCTTATCCATGGGAGGTTCTTCTCCTTCTGACGTGATTTCTCCTTTAAACATCGGTGTCTTCATGATACTTGTTGCAGCCTTCCTTCTACCTCAGACTTTGAATATTTGACTTATTGTCTTCTGTGTTTACCTCTCTCATTAGCTTGCTGGGCCTTGAGGGCGGGGCGCTGTCCTTTATTCACTGTGGGATCCCCCTGTGGTGCCCATTACAGCCTTTTGCTCCGGGAACATTTATTGAGTTGAACTGTTGACCTGAATTCTCTTCCCAAACCCTCTGTCTTCCTTCCAGTTATTGACTCAATCAGAATCCAAATTGAGGTAAATGTGGTGACTGGATAGCTTGTTACTTTGGTGTCTGAGTGGAAACCCTTCCAAAGAAGCCACCGTGGCCACATTTTATATTTGCCAGTGATATTTGTGTTTTGTAAGTTAAACCTGTGATCATTCAGAACAGGGGTTGGCAGACTATGACTTGTTGGCAGCCAGAATTTTATTGGAACATACCCACTTATTTAGGGATTGTCATGGCTGTTTCCATGCTACAGTGGCACAGTTTCACAGTAAGTTACAACAGGGATGGTGTGGCTCATAAGCCTGAAATATTTACTGTCTGGTTCTTTAAGAAAAAGTTTGCTGACGCTTAATATAGAAGAACACTTCAAGGACTTTTGCTGTGGAGCTTAATTAATGGATACAATGGGTAGGAAGGTAAGAAAGTATCCATTTTAAAATGAGGGCTTAAAAAAAAAAAACCCTAAGAGTTAAAAAGAAAACCAGCTTGATAAAAGTATATAATACCAGATGTGACATAGTCTCGCCAAAACATCAAACCTAAATCTGATGAAGCCTCTGGATCTAGCTACTAGTTTACAGGAAATACAGAGGATGGGGGAACATTAAATAAAACACCAGGGGATGCCATCTGCAAAGTTCAGACTGTGGGAAATTCTATAGGAGAAACGGCCCAACAAATAAAATGCAAGGGAGTAAAACGAGAGGCCCAGATTAGAGGAGATTTGAGACATTATTAACCTATTGGATCCTGATTTAAATCAATAAACTCATTTATGAGACAATGAGAACATTTGAACACTAGGCATCAAGTTGTTGAAGAAATCAAGGCTTTTATAGTTAATATTTTTAGGTTATGATATATTATAAATAGAAACTTACAAAAAGGATTTGAGTTGTGTTAGTGAAGTTTAAGACACCTTTTCCCTATGTGATGCTTTGATTCCATCTTTCTGAACACAGACCGTAAGAATAGTGTTTTAATGAATTATAATCAGAGAGAAGAAATGTAAAGCTGGGGTCCTGTGTAGTCAAGGAATTGTTGACACATTTAATTGAAGTCAGAGCCAATAGTCATAATGGCTCTGACTATTCTAAATACTTCTCTATGTGAATCTCTCCCATTGCAGAGGCCATTCTCCAAATATCGTATTAACTCTAACCAGCAAGAGTGTACGAGAGAGCTTGCTTAGTGGTGTGCATAGATTGCATGTACTTTCCTATGGATATCATTCTATTGCATACTGCATTTGTTGAGGAATTGCTAAGTGCTCTAACAAAGAGACTCCAAAATAATATGGCTTAAAGACAATGGAAGCTTATTTTTCTCCCATGTTACAGTCTAGATGTATATGGACAGTCCAGAGCTGGTGGGTTATTCTGCTTGAACACAGGACTTCCCATCTGTGGTCCACTTGCAGGCATGTCCTCGGCAGCAGCAAGAGCGGGGGAAAAGTGAAGGGCAAACTGTCCTTTTTATGGGGGTGATGAGGAAGTTGCACATATTATTTCATCTCCTATTGGTCAAGATTTGTCATGTGGCCACACGTAGCCGCAAGGGAAGCTGGGAAATGTAGTCTGTAGCCGGGCAGTTAATGTTCCCAGCTATCCGTTCAAGGGTTCTGTTACTAAAATGGAAAAGGAATGAATGGATTTTGGTTAACAACCTGCCACTGTTATAGCTTCTCTTTTTCTGTCTCTCTGTCTTTTTTTTTTTCTTTACAGAAAGCATCACTGTGCAGACTATGATTGACATCTTACGGGACAAAGCCAGTGGAGTCTGTGTAGACTCCGAGTCTTTCCTTACTACAGCCAGTGTAGTGTCTGTTCTGCCTCAGAACAGAAGCTCGCCATGCATTCACTACTTCACTGGGACCCCAGATCCTTCCAGGTTTGTCTGAGACACAGCTGTGCTGGCAGAAAGTATGTGCTTCCCTTGAAAGCTCATCCAATAAGTATATACTATGTTACTGTACCTCCCCTTCTGTAGCTGGGTCACATTGTTCAGTCGTGGTCCAATGTGGCCGATGCAGCACAAAGAACTTTGACTAAGGGAAGCTCTTGGCTTTAGTCACATCAATTTTTTTTTTTTTTTTTAAGTAGGCTCCATTCCCAGCATGCAGCCCAGCACGGGGCTCGAACTCATGCCCCTTGAGATCAAGACCCGTGCTGAGATCAAGAGTCAGACACTTAAACTGACTGAGCCACCCAAGTGCCCTTAGTCACATCATTTTTATGACATTCATGCAATCAAATTGTTTTAAATTCAGCGAATATGTATTGAGTTGATATCATGGGCCAGGTGTTGTGCTATATTTGAGGGATGCAAGCATAAATAACCACACAGTGTGACAGATGCAGAAATGCCCAAGATTTATCAAAGCAATCAATTCCTATAAATTAGAGGACAAAATGGTCCAGAGGCCATGCGGTTGGAAGCAATGTCAAGTGCACTGGCCACTTCCTTAAGACGCCGTGTTTCAGGGGGTTGCTTTCTGCCCACATACTTCAGCAAAGGGTTTGTATTGTTCAGTGTTTAAGAACACAACCTCTAGAATAAGTTGCCAGGATTTTGAATTCCATGTGTCTCACTTAGTGGCTGGTAAGTTACTTAACCTCCGTAAGCTTGAGTGTCTGTACCGTGCAATGAGGATAACACTGGCTCCTACTTTGTATGCTTGTTGGGAGGATTAAATGAGATAATCCAAGTAAATACACAGTAGGTTTAACTTCTCTTTATTAAGACTATCTCTGATTTGCCAGGCAAACAGCAGTCCCGCTCCCTGGTAGTGTTCAGTCCCATATACCACAAGTCACATCGTCAGTGGCTTAGACACAACCATCCAGTGGTTTCTAATTCTGTTCATTAGCAGAATCACTTGGGGGAGTTTTTGAAAAGTATAGGTGCCTTGACCCAAACCTCCTGTGTCAGAATCTTTAAGGTGGGCTCAGGAATCTGTCAACTGTGACTGATCCTCAGCCTGGAAAACTCTAGAAGACTTTCTATTCCAGTAGTTTCCCTGGTAATTTTTAAGGGTTCCATTGGCTGAAAACCATTATCACTGTTTGAATATTGGGTGTCAGATCTTTGACTGCTACCAGGAAGTCTGTAGCTATTCAATTTCATTCCTTCCAGCTGAACATATTCACTCTTCTCTTATTGTTTCAGGAATATAAGACAGTGATGGTGTCTAGCTAGGGACTGTTTCTTAGATGACTCAGGGGAAAGCCCAGTACCTCTCTTGATCTTTTGGCCTTACTTTTTCTTTTTTTATGTTTAGAGAGAGATAGAGAGCATGTGTGCAAGTAGGGTGCGGAGGAGGGGCAGCAGGAGAGGGAGAGAGAGAATCTTAGGCAGGCTCCACACCCAGCAGAGAGCCCAACGCGGGGCGTGATCTCACGACCTTGAAGTCATGACCGGAGCTGAAATCAAGAGTCAGATGCTTAACTGACTGAGCCACCCAGGCGCCTCTCAGCCTTACCTTTAAACTACTGCCAATATCAATTTTAGCAGGACCTGACTATTAAATTCAGTATAAGCTATTCTTAGTTCTTCCTTCCTTCATTTATTCATTCAACAAAACTTATTAGGCACCTACTATATACCAAATATCATGCTTGTTGGGTACTAGGGATGAAGTATGCACAAGGTAACAGGTGGCTTGGAGGAGATGTTGAAGGAGCAAGCTTCAACGGAGGAAGGATCCCTTGAGTGCCAGGCGTTCTGGGAAGAGGAAGAGTTCGTTGGGTACAAAAAGCAGGAATGACATTTTGGTAGAGGGAACATGCACAAATGCAGAGAGCCCTGAAGCAGTGTCCTGTTGTAGAGTAGGTTTCCGTCTCTCCTCCACCCCCCACTCCTCCAGTAAACAAGCCCAGCCACTGTCGCGTGGCCCCTCTGCTGGCCTCAGCCCCACGGTGTTCCAGCCAGCCTCCCAGGATGTGCTCCTGTTTGATCCCAGCTGCCTCCTCTTGATCTTACCTCCCAGTGCTCGATGCTTGGTCTCATGGATGGCCCGGCTCTCGCCCCCTTTGTGGTGCACCAGCTCTGGGGTGTGTCCTTCCCTGTCGTCTGGGCTTCCCCTCATGGACTCTGACTCAGCATGCCCCCATCGCTGGTGGCTCAGCCGCATCTTGAGAACACTCTGCTGGCTCACAGGGGTCCATGTGGTCACTTGGGGCCCTACTTTAAAGTGACGGGAATGCTCTGCCAACGTATTTGGACATGTTCATTAGGGAGCAGGAGCCTTTGAGGGAGTGGGTTGAACCGAAGAAGGCCTGTACCACCCCTTCTGCTTCTGATGCCTCAGGCACCTGCTCCAACTGTGCTTAGAAGACAGGGCTCTGTGAGGCCAGGACACTAATATAAGGAATGCCATTTCCTAGACTGAAGTACATGGTCTCGTACAGTTCTAAACTTGGGCTGGGAAATAGCCTTCTATTGAATATGGAAAATTTCAAGTAATTTTTAAAAGAAAATTATTCACGGTTAAATTAATTGAAAAGACCTTAAAGACGATTAAGGGCTTTCCGGAAGACATTGATTTCTATCTTCCAGTGCTAAGTGAGCGGCATTTCTTACTGTGACCATGAGAACTGTCACACATTGAACATTTCCATGTTTCTCTCTAATTGGGCATGTTTAACATTTTGTATTTTGTCAGCAGGAAACATAATTACCTACTCTTGGGCTTTTAGGTGGTAAATCGGGGAAATTTTAGCTGGCTTTTGCTGACGCTAAAAACATTAGAGAGATGATTTCAGGAAATCATTTCAGAGCAGGGGGCTTGCAGAAGATTATGATCCAAGAGCAAGACTGTGTTCTTTATCCCTCCCAATTCATGTTTGGAACCAAAGGATGCGATCTGACTATTGTTCCGTCTGCTTCAGCACGTCTCTGCCCTTTGCTCACTGCATTCATTATAGATCCTTCTCTCGAGATAATTTGTTCTCGCATTCTCTTTTTCTCTTTCTCCTTCCCTCCCAGTATGCACCAGGTACTATGCAAGTTTGAGAGCTGGATGGAGATGCAGAAGTCAGAGATTGAGAGATACAGGGAGATGCAAAAGACCTTTCGTTAATTTTACTGAGAAGGCAGATTCCATAATATTAATATTCTGCTGAGTCAGTCGGTGCCTCTGTCACCCACGTCGTGACACCAACTGGCGTTAGCGCTCTGGTTCTGACCTTTGTAAGGCTTTTCCTCGGTGGAAGCCGGCACTTGCCAAAGCTTCAGCGACCTGAAGAATTGGAGGAGGAAAGAGTAGGGAGGTACCTTAGCCCTTTGAGACCGTGACATTCAGAGTCCTGCAGGGTGCTGGAGCCAGTGAGAGATGATTATGTGCCTCTCCTGCCAACCCCTGTGTTCAGTGACATCACACTGGGAACTTGCCGTGGGTCACACCGTAGAAACTGGCAGACATCATGGGTCAGGGCTTATTTGTTTCAGATACAGTTGTCCAACCAGCACATCACCCAGAGGCCCCCAGCTCTGAGAAAGCCCACAAATACTCAATGTACGGGATGGATAAACCAAGAGGGGGAGAAAATTTAAAACCTTTCCATTTTAAATATTAGAAGGCTATTTCCTAACCCATTTCTCTCATTGTTTTAGGCTGTGTACTTAAGCCTAGGAAATATAAAATAGAGAGGAAGTTCTAGGAAAATACGGTGTTTGGCCTTTTTTAACTAGTGGCAAAGAGCAGGGGAGATGCAAGGGACCTGGAGTATGTGTGCGTGTGTGCGGGCATGTTTCCTCCTCTTCTCCCAGTGTACTAAGCTTGAGAGGCTAAATTGGATTGACTGAGACTGTCTCATCTGGTTTATTCAAATGTGGCACCTCTTTGTTGGTGAAGACACACCACAGCCTATGTAAATACAGCTCTGTGCCATGCAGGGCACAGACGTCCACAGAGCTGAGGGCCCCACGCAAAATAGCAACCCCCCCCCCCGCCCCATGATTTCATCCCAGATCCATCCAGCACCATCTCTCTCCTACCCTACAATTTTGACTTCAAACCCTTCCAGAGTATCTGGATCCAGCCCCAAGCTTGTCCCATGCTCCAAAAGTACTAGTTCGCTTTTCCTCTAAATAGAAAGGCTCTGCACTGGTAGGTTCTCCTCTCAGCCAGATGTGGCTGTGACTGTGTGATGAAAGTGATTCACAGTGAAAAGCCAGAGGGACACCTGCAATTGAGAGAAAACTGGCTCTTCTGGGTTCTTCTGAGCTTGGTTGAAAGTTTAGCAGACTCATCTGAGCAGGAGCCTGTGCTTCTCCCTGCCCTGTGCCAGACTCCTCTCAGCGGATCTGCCGGGGACTCCAAGGCGCCGCATAAGCCTGGCTTAGTCGCTAAGGGACTTTCTGCACCTTCGGTGAGAACAGAACCATGTTTGAGGTCAGAATTGCTGGCTGGCCACTGATAATAAAATTCCAAACCCCAAAGCACAAAAAGTGTTCTGTTTTTCTGCACAATGTGTATAAAAACCCAACAGAAGGATATATAATGGTGAGAAGTAGTGGGGAAAAACTGACCTCAGCTTTGGACATCTGAATTTAGTTCTCCATCTGCCACTTATTGGGAACGTGCCTGTGCACCAAGCACTTAGCTGCTGTGAGCCTTATTCATCTCATCTGTAAAATGGGATGGCAATTTTTGCCCTGCTTTGTTCATTGCCATATCCTTAGCACCTAGAACAGGTGTCTGCTACTCAGTCATCACTCAGCACATTTTTACTGGTGAATGAATGGATAAATAGGAGTACCCGGAGAACTGAATGCAAGCACTTTGAAAATTACGATAAACTACAAAATGGTAGGGGTTTTCATGGTAATTGTGTTTTGAAAGGAAAACAGATTTTTTTTTTTTTTTTAAACACTGGCTCAGTGCATCTCTCACGAGGTTTTGGAAGACAGAAAGGACAGATAAGGCAAAGATGCCTCTAGGGGAGCGTGTTTCTTGGCTGTGGCTCCAAGCGTCACCCAAGGCTAACATTCTGCAGACCTCTGAGCCAGACGGTGGAAGCCTCTGCTGTGTTTCCTGTCATCAGACTGTGTCTTAGACCTGAGATTTGTCTCAGGGAGAGCTGATGGCTGTGGTGACGTGGTTTCTTTTGTGTTGCTCATGGCTTCCTTTGTTTAATTGTCCCTCATGAGGCTGGATTGTCCCTTCAGAGCAGCTCAGCCAGCTATAAACCTCCTCATTAACCAGGCTGCTGGGCTGCCCTTTGCCACTGGAAGCGCTCCCCTGCTTCTGGGCCTATTATCTTGTGTTCCTGTCACAGCGCACCATGGAGGGGCTGAGTGCCTGGAGCGAATTCCAGGGTAGGTGCCTTCTCTGAAACCGAGGACAGAGCAGAACCGGCTTTCTGGAGCCCCCTCAGCTGTGTCCTGCCTCAGAGCCATCCCTGAGACAGCCTGGCAGAGCTCCAAAGTATGACGAAGTAGGTCCTGTCCTGTCCAGGTGGCCTGGGAGGGGTGGTGCCTCATGACCCCTGTGGCAGTTTCAACTTTGCCACTGGCTGGACATGTGACCTTGGTCACGTCATTTACTTTCTGGGCCATTAATGAACATACATTCGATCAAGGGACATTTAAGAAGCTACCCTTTGAGCTTTAAGTGTGGGAAATTGGCAGAGGCTCTCCTCACCTAGTTGGAAGTTTAGTGTGATTTTCTATAGGCTTGGCAAGAAATCAGAAGGTTTGGGGACCACTGAGTTATCCACATTCTGCTTTTTTTGGATACGTAGGCACAAATAATCAAGACTGAGTTATAATTCCCACATTCTGACTTAAAGAAATATTAGTATCATTGCAGTTTGTCATCAGCAGTAATTTTTATTCAATCTCAAAATATCTCCCTTTGACCACTTGACAAATCTATGCCTCATGTTTTTAGCAGTTGAGGATGCCAGCTTCCTCACAGACTTTGGGGAAAAAAATCCGTGGAGAGCTTTGGCTGCTTTAGAGTATTATGGGAACCTCCCCATATTTACTACTTATCTTAAAAAGGAAAACTGATAGATAGGAAGGATACACATATGGGGCCTCTTGTCTTAAGAAAGCCACCAGACACCCTTACTGATGTTAAACTAACCTCCATCCAGCAGGTGTGGAATGGGTTTGAAGTTACATGGAATGTCCTGATTTTTACTACACTATTATCCTGGATATTGGATGTGGAAGACCACGACTGTGCTTACCATGAACTTCTTGAAGTCAGACTCACAAGTTCATGGGCTGCACGACATACAAAGAGAAGTTAACAGGTTTAGAAGCTGGAAGGGACCTTAGAGATCATTTTAGTCCAGATGAGGGACAGAGGGGCAACACAAGTGTCCCCATGGTTGGTCAGAGTCGAGAGGGGATGCCCACCCTCATCCTGAGCCCAGCCCATCCTCAGTCCCAGTGGGGCCTCACTGTCATGAGTCAGGCAGATCTGGGATCTCCCAGACTATGCCCCCCGGGGTCCCCAGAGCCACAGTGCTCGCCCACGGGGCCGCTGTGCCAGATGGTCCTGAGAGGCATGGTCAAGTAAAGCCCTGCCAGAGGTCGGGCCTGCCGCCAGCCCCATCACTCAGGGTTAGCCTGTGGAGGTCATGGCTCTGGCCCTTTCTGGCCAGCCCAGGCCCTGTAACTGAGATGTGCACTGCACAGGCTCCGGGCTGTGCAGCAGGAGCCCAGACCCCGTCTCCCACAGAAGGGTGTCTGCGCTGGCCGGGGAAGCTGCAGATGAACGTCGGCTGGTGGACGGTATGCTGCACACGGACTTTTCAAGAGCCCCGCGTGCTGTTAGCCCTGAAGGGTGGGGTGCTTGCCTGCTGTGAGGTCAGAGACCAGAAGGACCCAGAGGCAGTTAGTTCTGGATGGCTTTGTGCGGGACTCTCCTTCCTCCTGCCATTTCCCTCCTGCTTCCTTCTCCCCCTTCCGTTACCCTTTTCCAGTGACCCCCTCACATAGCAGCCCTTCTGCAGAATCAACCGCGTGACTCATTGGATAATTCAACATTATGTAATCAGAATTGCTTTAGACCCTTTAAAGCTTTGCATCGATTGCTTTCACCTTCAGGGTCATCCATGCAACACTGAGTAGAAGGGAAAAGGACCGATGTATGTTCAGGAGGCTGTAGGAGGTGGCCATTGGCAGTTTGTGATCCCTCTGCGGAGGGTAGCCCCACTCCGTCCTGGGCAGGGCGGGTCCTTGGGCGGCCTTGGCCTGGTGGAAGTAGGCCGGCTGGCGTGCTGTGTGCTTCCCAGGAGATGGGTCTAGTCTCCTGTGAGTGTCTGCATGCCCTGCAGAGAACAGGGTACCTGGCACCTGTCCCTCATCAGTGCCATCCATTTTACCAGCGGGAGGCATGAAGGTCTCACTGCTTTTAATATCCACATTACCTTAGCCGGAGCCCAGTCTTGCAGAGTGACTTCAGGCTCTTCCTTCCTCTCCTGAGCCCTCCTTCCCTTGATAACCTCAGGGAACCAATCTAAGAGGTCACTTCTCATTATAGGTTTCCCCCACTATCCGTAAGTTAGCTTTACCCCACTTCACTTTTACGAAAGATGGACTTAGTATGGTACCTGTTTTCACTAACCACAAGAAATCCCAAAAGGATTTTTGCTTTTAGGAAATGGTAATTGCTTCTTTGCCTTATACCACTTTGGCTTATGAGAGGTCTCCGAGGAATGTTCTACCTTCAGGAACGCTCTACCTTCGAATAGCTGGGCAAACCTAGCTGTGCTCCTTAGACTTAGGGTGTCAGGAGTCCCTCGGGGATCTTGTTCACATGCAGATTCTGATTCGCCAGGATGGGGATGGGGCCTGAGGGGGATGCTGATGCTTCCCGTCCAAGGACACAATTTGGGTAGTCAGGGTCATTGGTTCCTGGCTCTTTGCAGATCGTGGCACACCTGGAAATGTTTGTGTGGCACACTGGCAAGGCCGCTGTGGCCACCTCAGGCCCAGCCACCTCAGGGCCCAGGGGTCAACATCCCACCTGAGGCATGGAGTGGCCGAGGTGCACCAGCTAAAGGGAGAGAAAAGAACCCAAATCCGATCAGTACCCACGGGAGTCTGGGTGTAGTCTTCTCTCTCCTCTTGTTATTGCAGGCGCTGCCCCACGGTGCAGCTGAACGAACGCGGCCCACCCTCAGGGCCCAGGAGCACTGCTTTCATTCACAAGTGTTTGCTCTGGGTGCAGAGAGGAGAAGGCTCTCTCCCTATGTTACACTCAGCTGTGGTCTCCACGTGCCCTGTTGGCTTGGGATCCCAGGATGCAGTTTTTTGGAAACATGGCTCTTTCAGGGTGTGTGTGTGTGTGTGTACATGTGCCCAGGCATGCACAGATGTGTGTGCACGCACACAGCCATTTTTCCTAAGGCACACCATCGTGGCAGAGAGCTGAATGGGTCCTTGCATTAGTCACCTCCTACGCCCAGAGCTCCTCTTTCACACAGCTGGGCTTCTGTTTCTCTGCAGTGTGTTCTCTCCGGGGACTCTGGGAACCTTTGTGGCATCTGCAAAACAGGTAGAACTTAAAAAAAGAGAGAGAGAGAGAGAGAGAGAGAGAGAGAGAGATGGGGTCTCAGAGCCTTGCATTCCAGGAGGCCACTGTCCAGCGAGCCGTGGTAGAGAAAGGCAGACCTCTTTCAATGCCGATAGATGGCCCACTGCACCCTTTTCTCTGGACACTATGTGTCTGTTTGCCTTACTTTACATAACTGAAAGGGGCCTCTCAAATGGTCTTCCCAGAACAAAGCAAGTCTGTTTTGATGTCTCCTTGCTGTTAATAGAAGAGCTTGCAGCTGGTAAATGACAGTTTTACTAAAATATTTACTAAAATATGCAGTGGTGTCTCTGTCTTGGCACCCACCCACCACCCACCACCCACCACCCACCATGAGCTGGCTCAGGCAGTGTTTGCTGAATGAAAGGACAGTCTGGTGTCCTCAAGCCTCAAGCTCAGTTTGGCTGAAGCATCTCTCCTTTCTCTCCAGGTCCATATTCAAGCCTTTCATCTTTGTTGATGATGTAAAACTTGTCCCCAAAGCACAGTCTCCTTGTTTTGGGGACAACGACCCTGCCAAGAAGGAGCCTCGGTTCCTGGAGAAGCCAGACCGCCGGCATGAGCTGTACAAGGCCCACGAGTGGGCACGTGCTGTCATTGAAAGCGACCAGGTGAGCTTGGCACCGGGCCCGCGGGGATGGGGTGGGGGGGGAGGGGCAAGGCCTTGAGAGGGGAGGCAGGGGAGCGGTTATGGAGCTCATCATTTTCCTCCTCGCCAGCTTGCCTCCTTCCAGAAATCCAGGTACCCAAGGTCCTTCCTCGAAGGCTGCTGTTAATTTTTCCAGCCAGTCTCTTGAATCCAAATGAAACAAAGCCTCCACTTGTGACGTTGTTCCAGAACTCAGTGGGCTCGAAATATCCCTCTTTCGTTTACTGTTGACCTGGGAATAACAGAAATGTGCGGTTCTAGTAGGGATAACTGCTTTCCTGCTGTCTAAAATTCTTTGTATACTTTTGGGGGTAGAAAGTTGTACAGGATGGCAAAATTTTATTTAAAGGTGCAATCCTGTGTTATTAAAAAAAAAAGTAATCCTTTGAAAAAGTTCTGTAGATGGATGGTGGTGTTGGGTGTTCAACAAGGCGAATGTCCTTATGCCACTGACCTTGTACACTTAAACCTGGCTAAAACAGAAAATTTTATGTTATGTGTATTTTACTATAATTTTAAAAAGTTTCAAAAAAAGATTCTCAAATTTCCAGTTTTTTAAAAATGTTATTCTTCAGTGTGCAACTCCCCACCCCACCCCCCCTTGCCCAAGCTTTGGTAAATGAAGTTTATAAGACATCAATTCAAACGAGACACACACCCTATCTCTGCCCATGGCAGCCATTAGTGATAGATCACCTATAAAACCCAAGCCTCTGTTTTGCTGAAGGGCAGGGGAAGGAACACTGTTGTTAAATGCCCATCTGCCTCCCACGCAGGTATTTAACAACTTGAAACAGGTCCTGTTTGTCCTGAAGAAAGGGACACCTTGTAGATAAATTGGTGCCTGCCTTTGTGTGGACTGGGCGAGCTTATTTTCTCCTGCTTAGCATGGTGGACTCTATGAAAAGCACAGAAAGAAGGGCAACATCAACAGTAAATCCAGGGGAATTCAGAAAGAATCTCAGAGAAGGCAGCCTCGCTACTCCTAGAATTTGCCTTTCTGTGCCACAGAAACGACCATTTGGACGTGTCAAAGTCAAAGGGTTTTCACATCCACCTTGCCTGCCGAATGTTTCCCTGGAAGCGTGAGCACGGCCACCACGCTGCACTGGGTTTTGCTCAGGGCGGTCCACCTCGCTTCCCGACTGTGCGTGTTTTCTAGGCGGAGGACAGCAAGCCCCGAAGAAAAATGCCCCTCGGTGCATGGCTTTATGGCTGTTTGGCAACTAGAAGGCAGAGGGAGAAAGGGCCGTGTGCTTGAACGGCCCTTGTCAAAATGTCAAAGAGATGAGACTGATGAGGTTGGGTGGGCTTTGACATTGAGAAATGACCATTGGTTTGAGTCAAAGCCCTGTTAGGAAGTGGTGACTGTGGTGACAGCAGCTTCTCCATTCTGGGACAAATTGGGCAAATGAAAGCTTTTCACGGTCATCCACTGTGAGTGAGTGGAAGGAATCTCCCCACCTCAGAACGAAAGTGAGTTGGGGGATAGGTGTGGCACGTGTTTATTCGCTGATCCATTTATTCATTCCACAAACAGTTATTGGGAATGTCTACTGTGACCCAGGCATTGGAGCATAGTGATGAGCTCAGTTCTCTCAGGAGATCATGGTCTAATGGCGGACGCAGGCAAGTCGACTGACCCGTATAAGACAGAAAAAGAACAGCCATGGCCGAAGTAAAGGCATTGACAGGGAGCCCAGAAGAGAGGTTCAAAGAAGCCTGGAGATGGGCACAAGTTGACAAGTGCTGAGGAAGAGCAGGGTGCAGTATTGTGGGTTGGAAGAATGCAGTTAATTCAGTCTGGCTGAAGGGAAAGGAGAGGCGGGGGCCATGGCAGGAGGTGAGGCAAGCAAGAGCCTCGTATGTTACAACAGGCCTTTCCTGAGTGTGTCTCAGGAGGCCGGATTTTATCCTGAAGGCAGTGAGGACTTAAGGACGCCAAGCAGAGGAGTACCATAACCACCCTGGCATTCTAGAATGATCCCTGTAGCAGTTGTGGGGAAACAGATTGAATGGGGTGGGTGGGCCCCTGGGAGGCTTTCTTGTCCACTGTAGTGACCCGCGCTGTTTCCGTCCTTCCTCAGGAGCAGGGTCGCCAGCTGAGAAAGACCATGCTGGAACTAGAGAAGCAAGGCCTGGAGGCCATGGAAGAAATCCTGACCAGCTCTGACCCCCTGGACCCCACCGAAGTGGGGGATCTTTTCTATGACTGTGTTGACACGGAGATTAAGTTCTTTAAGTGAAGTAAGCATTCCCTTTCCCCTTCTTATTTAAACGTTCCCACCTTACTAAATTACCAGCAAAACAAACCACTCTCCTGTGTGAGTAAAATGAGAAAGTTCAGATGTGTTAAAGTCACACTCTTGTGTTCTGCCTTGAAGCTCAACAACGACCCCTTCTCCTACCACGTAGCTTCCCTTCTTTTGCAATGTAACGCGTCTCCATTAGCCTGTCGTTCGATTGTATGACTAATTGTGGATTTTCAGCTGCTCTCATTGCATCTCAGTGACCGTGGACACATTAGCCTTCTCATGGAGGACGACGGTTCATCAGGCCTTGGAAGGGGGCTCCACAGTGCTAAGTGTGCAGGAAAAGCAAAATCTTTGAAAGTCTTATTCTTTCTTTCAGTACTGGTTTCTTCTGGGTTAACAAAAGGCCCAGGGCTCTTGTGTGTGTACTTGAGGGAGAAGCTTCCAGGCCTCCCTTCCACATGGGTGCATGCCTGTCATGCAGAGTTCTCCAGATGTGTCTGCTGAGGGACACAACCAATGGGGAGGAACAAAGGGGGCCCCTCCGTGGCCCCAGCTCATCTCAATTCCCGTGATCCCAAAGAGCCTGTCTTCTCTACACCGTGCTTGTGTGCGGGGGGCCCACAGACGGCCCCTGCGCGGGAGAGCTGGTTAGGGGAGTCAGCTAGAGGCACCCACGGTAGAGACTCGGAGGCAGCCACACCGGTGGCTTCCCCGCATTACCGCTTGGCTCTCCCTGCACAGCAAGCATGCCCACCCCTTGGACATGTCTTTGTGTAGAAACGATTTCGGGCCTGGTGATGGCCAACTTCTTCAGAATTAATTAAATGGCCCCGTGGCATAGTTCCACCCCACAAGGCTGCGAATTTCCCCAGCTAGCGAGGGAAAGAAAAGGAGAAACTCTTGACTGTTTAGATTTCTGTTAAAGTAGCTGGAATCTGAGCAGCGACTACATTATCTCAGCAGAGACTTTAATTAAACTGATCGGTTTCCAACGTCGTGTTCACACGGAGGATTTGACTTACCACCAGAGCATAGACGGGCGTGTGAGGAGGACCAGATGGGCTCAGCATTGGGAAGACAGAGGGCAAGGAGGTGACAGATGGATGCAGAAGCATTTCGCTGCAGGGTAGCGATCCAACCCCAGCCTTCCTGCCCAGCTTGTTCAATCCCACAAAGCTGCGTGGGATGCAGCTGGCTCTCCCCGCCCTTCCCTTTATTCCCAGTAGCTGCTCTTGGAATGAAGGTAGCTGAAGGGGGCAGGTGTAGGGGGGCTTCGCCCCAGCCATTGAAACTCTCAAGCACTGTGAAATGCTCTGGGGGCAGGAGATGATGAACAGACGAGTAAGCAGGTGTGGCCGCTAGTGGAAGGACGGCCCCTTCCTTACTCCGGCCTCACCCATACCAGTTGGGCCCAATCACGCTTCGTCACTGGTAGGAATTTGCAAGTGGAAATACTGTGAGCGTCAGTAATCTTTGAAGTGACCTAGGGTCAGTGACTCTGCACTGAGAGCGATGCGCGACAGGCCAGGCGGGCTGGAAGGAATGTGGTCCCACACACGGATGTGGGCACGGAGGGCCACGGGGCTTATCCGAACACATCTTGTTCTACCAACTTTCCTTTAAGAGTGTGGGTATCAGAGCGCCACGAGCTTTTGGGCCAGCAGTTTTGTGAATTCTGTATGTGAAATCATAAACGATGAGTGGTAGGGAATGGAAAGGATGTTTGGGCTGACAGAGTTACCACAGCCGTTTGTGGTGGCTTGTAGTTGCTGAGTCTCATCCAGGGCTTTCTCTGTTGATGAATGCAGGGTCTCCTCTTAGAGGGAGTGGCCATCCTCAGAGCATCAGTTTACAGATGCTAAACTTGGGGGGTTAGTGACACAGGTACCTCGCCCCTCCTAAGTCCACCTGCTCGGTGGTTATTTAAGACAAGGTGATGTGGAAAGCCACCCTAAAATTTCACCACGTGGTTTCACCTCCACCTGTTACAGAAACATTTCATCAGACCTAACACCTCTGAGATACCAAGGTGATTCGGGGTTTTATCAAAAGAAGTCTAGTGAGACTAAATTACACAGAGGCCTGCTTTCATTGTTACGGGCCAAACAAAGGTCATGGATCACCCATCCAGCCTATGCGTTCCCTAGCCACTGTGAAGTGGGAAATACAATGGCTACTTCTGTTAGGGGACATTTGTCCAGCATCTCTTACCACCAGGGGGTGTGGCAGCCCTCCATGGCACAGGCTGGCAGAAGTTCAATGGGGCCGGGAGGCTTCCCTCCCGCTCGGAGGGGGTCTGTGTACAGTCAAACCCCCAATAATAGCAGTGGACAAATTCTTTATGCCTTGGGGGTTGCAGGGAAAGACAAGAAGAGAGTAAGGAATCTGCTGCTGTGGCTGGACTCACTTCTAGTGACTTTTATCTACTTACGTCAACTGCTTAAAATATGTTGTTGGATTTTGAGCAGGCTGTTGGCAAGATGTTTCTTTTTAAATGCTCCTAACAGACTCTGCTTTTGAAAAATGCTTATCATTATGTGGATGATTTCTTTACCAGGGATTGCTTTTCTAAAGGCAGTGTGGGGAAATGAATATTCAAGATGAACTATGAAAGCAATGTTTAAAGGTCAGTGTGTAAATAAGCTTCCTGAAATACCCCTGGAGTATCCATTAAGACTTGGATAGGGGAGCTGTGCATGCTTTGTGCAGAAAGAAGACATGGCCAGGATAGAATTTCTCCCCTATTCCTATGCCCCATGACCAAACATAAGCTACTTAGTCTTGTTTAGTAGATGGGATTTACCATAGATGAAGACAGCCCTCATCCCCTAAAGGGGAAAGAGGCTGCAATGAAAGTAAATTAGCAAAGCAGAGTAGTGCTCTTCATTCTTGGAGGTTGGTTTGGAATTCTAGGTAGAATTCTAGGTAGAATAAGGATATACTTGAAATTATGGTGATTCTTTAGTGCCCAGTAACATAAGACACAGTGTTATTATTAGGAAGAGTCTTTCTTACAAGCTAACAGAGCAGGTGTATGCCTATTAGATATTAGCAGTGAAGCTCCTTCACTACTGGGTGAATTGTTAGGTATAAAAAATAATTACCAACCAGGCAAACCACTTTGCTCTTTAACTTACATCATCCCACATTGGTACAGGTGTTACACCACTCTGGCTGGCCCAGCAGGGAAGCCAGGTGGGACCAAGGTGTCTGCTAGGAAACCACAAACTGCATTCTTGTCTGAAGAACAGTTAAGTCATTTGTAGGGGAGGTGTTCAGCTGAGCTCTCAGCTTTAGGAAGGAAGCACATGGAAGAAGGAGGGAGGGGAGCCTGGGCCATTATTGTGTGGCGGGTCACATGCACGTGCTGTCCCAGCACCACCCTGTGCCTCCCTGTGGCTGTGACATTTTATTCTGCACAGTCCCAAGTCCCAGCTCTCCTCCTATGGCTTGTGTCAAATGTGCTTTATCTGACTGACTTCAAACATTCCGAAATGTCACATGCAGATTTCTCATGGGAATGAATATGTACATGTTTGCAATCATGTTGTGAGAAGTTAAATGTGTGAGCTGGAAAATGCTATTGGCAGGGAATAATAAAAAAGAAAATCTTTCTGTTTCCTGCAGTGGGAACTGACCGTGTAGTCTTAACAGCCTTTTGTACAAATATCTATGAACCAGATAACTTCCCAATCCAGTGCTTGCCTTTGGAATTGTCTCTAAATACATGAAGCATACAATAAAAAAAAAAAAAAACCACTGAAATAAATGTCCTTGTGTTTCATGAGTAAATGTGGGCATCAGTCACAAAACAGAAAATGTACGAAGGGGGATATGTTTTTCTGACTGGCATCTTCAGAAAACCCAATCAGCTCAGCGTTTCGGCGAACGGCGTACCGTTCTGTGGATAACTCAGAATTAAACTCATATTTAAAAATACACACAGGTGTGCCTGGGTGGCTCAGATGGTTAAGCATCTGCCTTCGGCTCGGGTCATGATCCCAGGGTCCTGGGATCGAGTCCCTCATCGGGCTCCCTGCTAGGCGGGGAGCCTGCTTCTCCCTCTGCCTCTGCCTCTCTCTCTCTCTCTGACTCTCATGAATAAATAAATAAAACTTAAAAAAAAATAAACACAGAAGCACAATGAGACACCACTTCATACCCATTGGGATGGCTGTTATCAAAAAAGCAGAAAATAACCGGTGTTGACGAGGATGTGGAGACACTGGAGCCCTTCCTTGTACAGTGTTGGTGGGAGTATAAATGGTGCAGGTGGTATGGAAAATGGTATGGCTGTTCCTCCAAAAAGTTGGAAAGATAGAATTAGCATATAACCCAGAAATTGTACTTCCGAGTATATGCCCAAAAGAACTGAAAGCAAGGCCTCAGATGTATTTTTACACCCCTGTTCATAGCAACATTATTCACAATAGCCAAAAGGTGGAAACAACCCAAGTGTCCATTGATGTTATTCTGAGTGAAATAAGCCGGTATCCAGAAAGCAAATATTGTATGATTCCATTTACATGAGGTCCCAAGAGTAGTAGCTGGAAAGTGGAATGGTGGTTGCCAGGGGCTGGGGGAATGGGGAACGAGGAGTTGCTGTCAAGGCGATAGAGAGTTTCAGTTTTGCAAGTGGATAAAAGAATTCTGGAGATTGGTTGCACCATCACGTGAATATACTTAACCACACTGAACTGTACACTTGAACGTGCTTATGATGGTGAGTACTTTATATCACATATATTTTACCACAGTTAAACAAAAACCACACTAGAGACGGAAGTCTTGATCCTCAGAACAGCTGGTGCTATGTATGCCAAGCATCTTTATGTTAAAGCCATGGCACGGCCACTAAAGATGCCACTAAAGAGAAAGACCAGCTGTCCCCACTTTCGTGACCTAGAAATGCCAGATTGCTCCCATGATTCGGTCTCCACTGTGACAGGCAAAAGGCAACTGAGTAGCTTGTTCATGAAGATAGGGCTTTGTCACGGGTCACAAGTGACTCATGTCAAGGTCTGAGAAGATAGCTGCCCCATTTATATGACAAGGAACAGCTAGCTCTTTAAACCTATTTCCAACTCTTTATTCACAAACATAACATTCTCCCACAAAGCTCCACAGCGACAGAGCACGCATTCGTTTGCTAGGGCTGCTATCGTAAAATACCACAGAGTGCTTGGCTCAAACCACAGAAATGGATTGTCTCACAGTTCTGGAGGCGAGAAGTCCAAAACCAAGGTGTCCGTGAGGTTGGTTCCCTCTGAGGGCTGTGGGGGAGAATCTGTCCTATGCCTCTCCCCTAGCTTCTGGTGGTTTGCTGGCCTGCAGCATCACCCCGATCTGTCATCTTCACATAGTGTCCCTGTGTCCGTGTCCAAATCCCCCTTCTTAAAGGACACCAGTCGGACTGGATTAGGGCCCACCCTACTGCGTTATGACCTCATCTTAACGAGTTACATCTGCAACAACCTTATTCTCAAAGAAGGTTACACTGAGATGTGGGCTTAGGACTTCCACAGACAAATTTTTGGAAGACGTAATTCAACCCGTAACAGAGCAGCTTCGTGAAGGACGCCCAAACCTCTGGGGCCCCTTGGGAGAAACTGGAATTCACTCCTGGAGGTCACAGGTCACAGCCCTGCCCATGAAGCTGCTTCCTTCAGCCTTGTAGCTACCACCTTCCCCCCTTCTTCACTGCACCAGGGGTGCCTAAATGTATGGCTCCTTCAGCTCCGCAGTCCATGGCTTTGACCTTCATCCCCTTCGTCAATTATCTTGGGCCGCTGCTTTTCTTCTCCACTCAGACTGGCCCTTTCGGTCGTGAAAGAGCTTCTCTCTACCTCTGCTAACGAGAGTGCAGAGAAAACAAGTCAGGTCCTTCACTAAATAGGAGGCAGTGTGTGGCAGTGCACTTTGAAATTAGTTTCTAGATGAGACTTCGGGAACATCTGTGAAATGTAATTAGTGTTCCCTCCCTGCTCTCCAGCAGCAGAGCCAGTGGTGTGCACTCTGAGCCGCTCCGTAGCCACCGAAGTGGAATGCTGGGGGTGCAGGCAGCGCGAGCCCTCGGGTCCTCAGCCTGTAATGAGCAAACTTGTACCCTAGAGTGCGGCGTGCGCCCATACCTGCGTCTGTGGGGACCCCAGCAAGGGTGAAGGGCTTGTCTAGGTCTTATGTCACTGCATCTTTACTACTACATGCTTAGGTCCATATTTGTGTCCCTGTTTTACACGTGAGGAAACTGAGGCACAGACTGGTTATGTAATTTACATCCCCAGACTTGTAAGAGGCAAAATAGAGAGTCAGCTCTGTGTCTGCCCCTCAGCCAGCTTAGCTCGCAGGTGATCCTCATTTCCCCTGCACCACATACCACAGAGGCCACCTGAAAATACTGTAATGGAGAGTGAGAGAATACTGCCTCATATAGATGTTTTGAGGGGTTTGCTAAGTTGGGGCAGGTGATCACTGCACTTCAGCTCGAAAGCTGTTTCATTTTAACACAAATTAGAGGCATTCTATAAGCAATACTCTCTGCCTGTTTTCTATGAATAGAAAAATATGGTGTTACTTTTTTTTTTTTAAGAAAATGCATTTGAGAAAGATTTTTCCTTTGGCGGTTTTTCCCAAATACCCATCAAGTCAGCTGAGCTACAAAAACTAGGAAAACATTATTATTATTTTTTTTAGATTTATTTATTTGAGAGAGTAAGTGAGAGAGAACACAAGCAGGGGAAGGGGAAGGAGGTGGAAAAGCAGACTCCCCGCTGGGCAAGGAGCTCAATCGCAGGACCCCGGGATCACGACCTGATACAAAGGCAGCCGCTTAAAACCGACTGAGCCATCCAGGCGCCCCAAAACTAGAAAAACATTATGTAGGTTAGTTAGTAATGTCAGCTCAGAAAAGAAAGGCCCCATTTCGAACACAGCGTGTCAGCATGCTTTGGGTCCTGTGTGAGTATCCTTTGTGTCCCATCACCCTCAGGAGCCCTTCTAACCCTGAAAAATGGCTGGCTTACATCGGCACTGGTGCCCCTCGATGGGTTTCAACAAGGACACGGGCAGAAGCATTTCCACTTATTTAAGTTTATTAGATACAAAGAAATGAGTCTGCAGAGGGCACATCAATAAATATAAAATACATATGAAACACGGGGAGCCACAGACCGTGTCTGTGGAGCGGTAAGAGCGCTGGAACTCGACGCCTCTGCGTGAGTTTATGGCCAAGGGGCTAACGGTCTGTGCTGCCAGAGGCGGGCACCGCCTGAGTTCCAAGGGCGTGAATTCAGTGACAGGTCTCGAGGAGAGATGGGAGGCCAGATTCCTGAGATTTCTAACCTAGTTGCAATTTTTGGTCTCGCTCATCCCTTCCCTCTGTCCTTGATAGGTTTTATTTTTAATTTCTATCCCAGTGGTGTGGAATGTGAATGCATCAACACCTCATCGGGGCGGCCAGTCTCCTCTGAAGGTGGACTTGCCTTTTGTCTTGGGCCTTCTTCATCGTGATAAATAATTAAAGCCCTTGTAATTATTTTCCTACAACTGGGAGAGCGATGGAGCGGATCCCATTATAATAAAAAAATCCTGACCTTTTGGAAACCTTCCAGAACCAATAAAACAAATCAGCTATGCTCAGAGCTGATGACCTGCAAAGCTTCTTTTCCAATTGATTTAGCAGTGACAATTTGGGATGATTGATTCCCCAGAGAAGGGCACTTGACCTTGCTCAGTGGCTTCTTTCCAGAATGACAAAGCATGACAGTAATGTGGGATGCCATCCTAGTTTTTACTCTGGACAATAGCTAAGTGTGTGCAGTCACGTTTGCCCAAACCCTCCTAACCGGCTGTTTTGGATGGCTTGGTCCGGGCACGGTGTCCTTCACGTCTGAGCACGAGTGGGTTGTTCCAAAGGACACTTGTTTTTCCATTTCTCTTCTCACCACCTCCCCCCCGCCCCCAACCTATTTCCTTTCATCTCTACCTATTTTGAGCACAGACCTGGGGGCAGTCTGTTTCCTTCTATTTTCTCTCCTTCCTCTCTTACAGCTTCCCCTCCAAGAACGGGGAGCATTTGGGGTCAGGTGCAAGCAAACACACACTTCCATTTCCTTGCCAGCTCCAGAAAAAGGGTGTGAGAATAGTAGCCAGAGCCCTTCCCGACCAGTTCCATATTTGAGGGAGCTGGCCCTGGGCACTTCTCTCCGACAGAGAAGTGCGCCCCCCACAGGGAAGGAGGAGCTCTCAGACTCCTCAGGTCCTCTTTAGTTCAGAAGGGAGCTAGGTTCGCCCGGCGGGTGCTTCCAGGTTTCCTAAGGGTCGGAGTGAGGCACCAGGTAGGTGAGGCAGATACTTGCTAATAGGCTTCAGTCTACACTTCCTTGTGTCATATTTACTGTGAAAATCCTGCTCTCCGGGAGGAAGAAAAACAACAATCCATCTCTGAGATAGAATATGTAATTGACTATAATAATGAGTTACGGATGTTTCTAACTTGTAGAAAAAAGTACCCGAATCTCGCCCTACCCTGGCTGCCAGGATGGAGTCGGGAAGTTAGGCAGGATGGGAGGAAAGCCACGGGCACGTGGGCACCAGGGGCACTGTAAACAGGAAGGACATTGGCTACTGGTAGGAGCATTCAGTTACAAAAGGGCCCTGTGGTTGGCATCGGAGGGGCTGAGCCCACTCTTGCCTTTCTTTTGCGTCATATTTACATTAGGCAGCAAAAATAAAATCCCTGTACTGCAAAACAGAAGCGAGACATGACATCTCGTTCACTGGAGGCTGTGTGGCATTGTCTGGGTGTGGGGACACACTACTGTCTCTGAGCTGCATCGTTTATAAGGCATTATTTGGTTTGATTTTGCAGTGTGCGTGATGAGAATATAGAATCATGCCAATAAGAAGCGGCTGTGGGTACTCTGACTTTGGGACTACTTGCAAACGAAGGAATCTTCTCAAAATGTTTCTGAATCTAGGAAGGGCCAGCCCGCACGCATTATGTACAGTCATGGAATGGACACCATGGGGTGGGGACAGGGCTCTATCTGTACTGACAGATGAATGCCAAGATGCATCTTCAGAAAATGGAGAAACATAATATGGGTGTGGTTTTTTAAATTATGCAAATAAAAGTCGACGGTCATACTGATTTAAAGCCTGTGCAAACCACATATTTACAATAAATAAATGCTCCACTCAGAGCTTGTATGTCAACTGAATTAAAACTTAAGTATGGCGAGGCCAGACACGTTCTCCTGGGGATGCCCATCTGGCGATATGGACCCCCAGGTGGCTCACAGGACATTGGCTTCATCTGTCTTCTCACCGGAGTGTCTTTAGAGATAACTGTGGAGAGACAGTAACATTACCAGGGGGCGCGTTTAGAAGACTCTTCACACACACACAGACAACCCACGCTGGGGCTGGGCACCATAGCCTTCCTGCTATGATTCATACGAGGCTGCCGGGGTCTGAGGGTCCCATCAGATGCAAGGGGCTGATTTTGACCCAGGGGGTTGTAGGTGGAAAAGGGATGTAATGGGACATATAGTTGATGGCATCTGAAGACCTACCACCACCTTGGAAACATTCATAAGACCAAACACCAGCACTGGACAGAAACTCAAGAAAAACAAAGAACTTGTTGGAGATCCTAAGACAAGGCAAAGGAAAAGAGAAAGGGCCCCAGGCCATCAGATTTCCAGCCCAGGACTCCCACCGGTGCACGGATCACTTGGGGCTCTCTCCACCGTAAAAAAAAGAGTGCCCCCTGGGGGCAGTTTCCGATGTCTAGAACCCTGTGATCTCTCTGGGAGACTGCTTTTTGTCTCACTGACGTGAAAATGAACTAAGAGGGTGTCCAGCTAGATGAAAAGAAGATCTTCTTGACTATGGGATGCCCAAGAGAGACTTTACAATCCATCCTCGACTAGACTTTTATAGGCTCCGGTGATTTAGGTATGTGTCTGCCATGAGGCCAAAGACCAGACGTGGCACAATGTTCGACTACGCTTGCCACGTCTGAAGGGGAGGATGAGTCCTGTCCTGGTAACAGGAACGTGCCAGGAAAGCAGAGTGGTATAGTGGAAGGAGCACTGGACAAGAAGTCAGAAGTCGGGGCATGTGACCTTGGGCAAGTTCCTTAACCCCTTGGAGCTCAGTTCTCTTGTCCGAAAAAAAGGTCATTAAAGGTATGTCTCCAGTTTACATCACAGAGTTACTAAAAGGATCAAATGAGATCACATTTGCAAGTTATCTGAAGAAATGTAAAGAACTGTATAATGGAGGGACTATTATTTTGATTATTGCTGTATTTTCCTGACCACAAGAGTAACATATTCACTACAGAAAATTCAAAAATGGCAGAAATGCACTAGGAAGAAAGTAAAAAAATCAACTCTCATTTCCCAGAGTGGATGCCTGTTAATTTTGTGTACATTCCCCCTGTTTACTTTAGCCCTATGCATATATACTTCTCCCTTAACTGCAATCAGACAGCCACTTTGGAGCCTGTGATCATCTGAGTGGTTATCACAATTCTTAGCTTAGCCGTGGTTAGAAAAGGGGGTGCTTGTCCTCTTGCAAGGAACTCATCCCCACGTCCAGGGCCTTGGCGCCCTTCTCACGTCCCTTGCTGTGCTGTCCCAGGGGGCTGCAGAGGGGCCCAGTTTAACGGCAGGCCACCCCCTTTGCCACATAGAACTCTGAAACAGGAGGAGGCCAGGCCACGACTAAATGCCTGTTTTCAAAGAAACAAAGGGCCTCTAAAGATGAGACCCTGTCGTGGGCAGAGAGCAGTCATCTCGGCCCAGGTTAGGAGACAGTCCATTCAAGCTGCCTTGTGTGAGGAGGGCATTTTTTCAAAGACCGTCTTATCCCAAAAGAACCCGTCTGGTTCCCCTCCCAGCTTTCTCCAGCCACCAGGACTTGAAGCATGACTACATTTGGCCAAAAGAAATGATCGTGTTGATGAGAGCAAAACCCCTATGGGAGCAGTAAGATACCCTGTATTCTGCAGACAAGACAGAACCCTGAACTACATTTGGTACACATTACAGAGTCTTGTCTCAGGCCTCTCCAGCCACCACAACCAGGGAAGAACGAGCAGGGAGGGAGTGGGGTGACCATTGCAGAAGGACTCCAAAGGGCTTCTGGGCAGCCAACCTTGCTTCTGGATGTGGTGGGGATTCTGGGGGAAGCCCCCCCCTTCCCTCTTCAGAGTTTGAAACTGTACACGTTTCATTCTAGCTAGAAACAAAGGTACACCAAATGGCTTTCCCTGAGGACAAAAGAATCTGTGCAAAAGATGTAAAGCTTTAAGGAGAAAGCACCCTCTCGACATTTCTGGGCTCCCTGAGGAGAACTCCTGCTTTTACGTTCAGAGACCCGAGGGAGGTGTTACCTGAGAATTTCTGCCTTTGATGTCATCCGAGCTCTGCCCTGCTGCCTCAGCGTGGAGCCAGGGACCAGGTGTATGGCCTGAAAGAAACAGGAAAGATCTCGCCGTCTATTGGCCCAGGGACTGCTGTGCGCTTCTCGGGAAACTCAGACTCCACTGGCGATTAAATCAACAGCAAAGGGACCAAGGGTAACAGGAGCCGGTCAATCTGAAACCTCCAGGCTCCCAGCCCTCGGCTGAGAGTTTCCACCCACTGCTTCCTTGGCCCAGCCTGGATGCAGAGGCATTTCGTCCAGGCAAGGGATCAGGTTATTATAAAGGCCTGTCATCTACATGCATGTGACAGCTTCTTAGCTCAGAACAAGCCACCATCTCCAGACTCGCTCATTTGTCCAGTACCCCACCCGTGCCAAGCACCGTGCTAGGATTGGTTAAAAAAGGGAGTAAAAGGTAATTATATACTGAATAAATCACGCTCTGTTCTAGGAGCTTGAATTCATTGAGTTCATTCTCTAAAAAATGTATTTTGCTTAACTATTACACAAGTTCCATATAAATATATTTTCACAGTTAAGGGTTCAAAGAATATAGAAGAAGACAATAGGAAATAAAAACCCAAAACAACCTCAAGTGCCTCGTCTTTGCCTAATCCCAGTTTCTGTCCCAGAGTCACCAGTACTCGAAGCTTGCTGTTTATCCCTCCAGATTTTTTTTTCCTGGCATTTACTTATATGTGTGTGTATATGTAACTCTTTTAAAATAGGAATTGGACTACAACAAGCTATCACTGCACACCTATTAGGATGGTTACTATCAAAAAACCAGAGAACAGGGGCGCCTGGGTGGTTCAGTTGGTTAAACGTCTGCCTTCGGCTCAGGTCATGATCCCAGGGTCCTGGGATCGAGCCCTGCATCAGGCTCCCTGCTCAGCGGGAAGCCTGCTTGTCCCTCTCCCACTCCCCCTGCTTGTGTTCCCTCTCTCGCTGTGTCTCTCTGAAATAAATATTATTATTCTCTCAAATAAATAAATAAAATCTTTAAAAACAAAAAAAAAACAGAGAACAACAAGTGTTAGTGATGATGTGACGAAACCCTTGTGTGCTGCTGATGGGAATGTCAAACGGTGGGAGTGTAAAATGGAAAACAGTATGGTGGTTCCTCAAATAATTAGAAATCAAATTGCCGTATGATCCAGCAATTCCATGTCTGGGTATATACCCAACAGAACTGAAAGCAGGGACTCAAAGAGATACTTGTGCACCCATGTTCGTAGCAGCCTTAGTCACCACAGCCAAAGGTGGAAGCAAGCCAGCTGTCCAGTGATGGACGAACGGATAAGCACAATGTCATACATAAGTACAAGGGAATATTACTCAGCCCTAGAAAGGAAGGAAATTCTGACAGATGCTACAAAGTGGATAACATTGAGGACATTAGGCTAAATGAAAGCCAGTCCCAAAAAGTCAAATATTATATGATTCCACTTATATGAGGTACCAAGAGTAGTCAAACTCTTAGAGCCAGGAAGTAGAATGGTGGTTGCTATTTCACGAGTTTAAGGGGTACAGAGCTTCAGTTCTGCAGGATAAAAGGAGTTCTGCAGACGGGCTGCACAACAGTGTGAATGTACTTAACACTACCGAACTGTACACTTAAACATGGTTAAGATGGAAAATTTCACGTTATGCATTTTTAAACCACAATTAAAACTCTATTTTTAAAGGAGTTTGGATGTAAACAGATTTCTAACCAGCCACTTTCCCACTGAACTGACTGTGATCAGGATCAGGTTTTGCTGGGAACACTGGACTGAAATGTTCAGTTTGGATGTCTGTCTCTCCTCCCTTTCTCCCCCAAAAGGTGAATTTCTTGAGGGTGTGTCAGGGCATCATTTATCTAAATCTCTCCAGTGGGTAAGGGCCTCAGTAAGTATCTGTCAATATGATGATAACTTCACTCTTTCTATCATCACTATGTTAATAAATATTTGAACCTATGCAATTATTCCCAAAGATTCCTACTGATAGGGTGTTTTTTCCCTACTTTATTGCAGCACAATGCACAATGCACATAACATAAAATCTACCACCAGTAACCTTGAATACATTCACAGTGTTGTGCAGCCATCACCTCTGTCTCATTTCAGAACATACTCATCACCGCAAGAAGACACCCATACCCATTAGGAGCCGCTCCTCATTCTTTACGCCCCCCAGCCCCTGGCAGCTGCTAAATCTTCTTTCTGCCTCTAAGGGTTTGCCTGTTTCGGCTACGTCATGTAAATGGAATCATACATGTGGCCTTTTGTGTCTGCATTCTGTCACACATCTTGATGTTTCCAAGGTTCATCCACGTTGTAGCATATATCAGTGCTTCATTCCCTTTTCTTGTCAAAGAATATTCCACCGCATGGCTCTACGTTTTGTTTATCCATTCATCAGTGGATGGACACTGGATGTTTCTACCTTCCAGCTACTGCGAATATTTATGCACGAGCTCTTGTTTGAACCCCCGTTTTCAATTCTTTTGAGTGTATACCCAGGAGCGGAATTGCTGGATCCTTCGGTAATTCTACAATTGACTTATTGAGGAACCTAACGCATATTTAAAACATTTAAAAAATTAGGTAAAATCATCCTATCAAGGAAAGAAAACAGCTAGTACGTGCAGGGTGGAAGACAGTGAGGAGGACAAGGGGAAGAGCTACGCATTAGAGTCTGTGCTGCGTGTTGTGTCAGGAGCAGAGAGAGAAAGCGAGCAAGTGGGAGGAGACAAAGGCAGAACTGCGGTAAGACAGCGTGAGAACACACTCATCCGACAGAACCAGACCATGGAGACCTCCAGTCTCGGGGAGCCAGGGCAATGGGGAGCAGGAGGAAAACTGTAAGAAGAAATGTAATCAGACAGGCATGAACTGTATCAGCCTCACACTAATAGAATTACCAAGGTTCTACCCTACGGCTCACAGGGACGGCAGGAACGTGCTAATGTAACTGTGCTCGGAAGCCACAGGAGGATTTTATGCCCTCCAGTGCCGCATCAATCTAAAACCACATTTTAGTTTTGAAATTGCAAATACCCTTTCTGGTCGGTAGGATGTCAGTTCGCTTAGCAGGTTTTCTTTTTCTTTTATTTTTTTTTTTTAAGATTTTATTTATTCACTTGACAGAGACAAATACAGCGAGAGAGGGAACACAAGCAGGGGGAGTGGGAGAGGGAGAAGCAGGCTTCCCGCGGAGCAGGGGGCCCGATGCAGGGCTCCATCCCAGGAGCCTGGGATCATGGCCTGAGCCAAAAGCAGCTTAACGACTAAGCCACCCAGGTGCCCCTTCTTCTTCTTCTTCTTCTTCTTTTTTTAAACTGCATCTTCCCGAGCATCAGATTAGTTTTGTGTGTACGGGCACTAATTTGACTACTTCTCTGAGATGAGAGGAATACAGCACAGACTGTCAGCTGCGCTCCCCTGGCGAGCTGTGCGAGGCATGGCCTCTCTTACGTTCTCAGGGAGGAGACTGGGCACCATGGGCTCAAAATGCAGTGAGCTTTAGAATTTACCGAGTCTGAAGGTTGAAGGACTGCACAGCACACTACTGAGACAGAAGTGAGATTTTGAAGAATCTGCTTTTCTAGAACGGTTTAGTGTTGAGATCAGCAAAATATGGCCGGCAGACCAAATCCAGCCAGCACCTGTTTTCTGTAAATAAAGTTTTATTGGAAGACAGCCATGCCCATTCATTTATGTACTGTCTATGGCTCCTTTCCTGTCAAAACAGCACAACTGAGTAGTTGTGACCGAGACCGTATGGCCCGCAGAGCCTCAAATATGTCCTTTCTGGCCCTATAGAGAAAATGTTTGCTGACTTCTGATTTAGGGTAGGAGTCAGTAACTGAAAAGCCTCCAGGGGCCAGGTGTCACATTCACCTGTTACAGTCTGGGTATAACAGAGAACGGTGGGATTTGTGGCATGAACGTGGCCAATTAACAAACACCTGCTTAGGGAAAGGAAATGAGCCTCGCAGGAGTGCTGACAAGACCGACTCCATCTTTGGCCCTCCATCTCATGCTGCTCCTCTCTCCTTCCTCTCTCTCTTAGTTCAGAGCAGTAGTCTTTACATATTATTTAAAAAGCACACAAGGTCACTTCTCTCTAAATGTGCAATCCCACAGGCCAGCAGAAAAAGACCTGCCCAGGCTGATTCCAAGAGGACCTGTGAGCTGAGCAGGGAGAAGGCTCAAGCTCCCTGGTCTGCCTGCAGGAAGCTGAACCCTGGAGGAGGGACTTTGCGAAAGTCCTTCTGAAGGGAAAGGGTCAAAGAGCCCAGTTCATGTTCTTGGGCTATCCCAGGACACGGACGATTTTCCATGCTAGTTCACAGATGTCTGGGATTGGGGGCGTGACTCCTGTTGTTGGGTGGGAAACACCCTTACTCCATGTTGTTGCCACTGTCCCTGCTTACCAGCTACTGACCAACTGGATTGCTTCAGCACTGGACCAGAACTGCCTCACCTTAACCAATAGGCAGCTTCGCTGTGTGGTTAACAACCTTGCTTTACTTTGCTTTCTGTTTTCCTAAAGTACTTGTCTCCTGCCCTTTTGGCCCTGAAGGATATGCCCGCCTCTTGGGCTAAGTAGGTAAGCAGAGTGGAGGCCTCTACTTGGAGGCTGGCCACATGATGAAATTGGGAGAAGTCAGGCTCTTACCAGCCTGAGATTTTCAGACTTGGCTGGACACTGGAATCAACTGGCAGCTTTCAAAAATACTGCCACGTGGGTACCTCCCTGTGTATTTTGATTTAGTGGGTCTCAGTGCAACCTGGCTTTTGGGATTTTTAAAAGCTCTGTTGGTCATTCTAATGTGTATTCAAGGTTGAGAACCACTGAAGGACATTCTCCACTTCACAGTCTGCCAGAGTTCTGAACTGGGGTTTTTCAGATTCTTCTCTGGTTATTAATACAAAGCTCCTGTATCCCATTTTGCTGCTGTCCTGGGGTGGTTGCTCCCTTGTCAAAAGCCCTAGGAGGGGAGGGACAAGTGGTAAATCAAGGCACTCAAATCCAAAGCCAAACAATTAACTCTGGAGTTCTGTAACAAGCTTCTAAATGAATCCTTGGGGCCAGGACAAGTAAGTATTCAGACACTTCCAGAAGTACAAACAGCACTGTATTCTTCCAGTAGTACAGTGAAATCATGACATCATCTTTTAGGCAGCCTGGAGCCAATCAATGCACACTAAGCACTTAATTCTGGAGGGTAAGGGAAAACCAAGAGGCTTCCCAAGGTGGTACTTACTTCTGGGGATCTTGCTGGGGTAAATCTTCTGGCATGGTTTATATTCATCTGGAGGAGGAAAGTCTTCCACAGTATGAAACGTGAATTTAGATTCAAAGTCATCTGCACATGTGGAAAATAGCAAAATTACTCTGGTTATTGTGATGACCTAAGTTTCGAGAATTTCCAAGAGCACACAGGTTTGCCTGCCCAGTTTTAATGGCTGGGCTATTTCCCCTTAAGAACCCCCATCTACCTCTCAATTTTTACTGCTTAGCTCAAACAAGGGGAATCAGGAAACGTGAAATCAATAGACTCTCCCTATCATCCACCCTACCTTGCTTTGACCAACATCTTAGGGAAACTTCTAAAGGGAGAAGTGCCATGAGCTATCCAGGGTCCAGAGTCAGAGGTGGGGAACGTGCCAGCAATAAGGGACCAGCAGAGTCCCTGTGGCCTGTTGCTACTCCTGAGCCCCTGGCGAGGGCTTTGCTTGGGAGGGGTGAGCAGATGGAAAGTCCTCAGCTTGGCTGGTGGGAAGGAGTATGGCTTATGTCCAGTGGGGGACCTGGGCTCCCCAAAGCAAACAGGATTTTCCCTGTGCTCCTGATTGCAAGAGGAGTCTTGTGGCCCCTTTATGAGCTGAGTCCCTGCTTTGGGTCTGACCCCAGAGAACTTTCCTTCCTATCTCCGTATTTTTGCCCTAACCGTCCCTCTGTCTGGTGGGCCTTCTATTCATCCTTTCACCTTTTCCAGACCACTCTATTCTTCCTATTGTGTAATCCAATATGCATGGACTTCTCCACGGGGACAGAGACACCCACACACATACACAGTTTGAATGTTGATTTTCTTCCGTCTTTCTCATCACAATCAGAAAGTTAGAGAACGAGTCCTGGAACCTTCCAGAAAGCCTCAAGAGAAACCTTATTTAACACAACTTGTAGGATGTTTTGCCCTAGAGTGAGCTCCCTGTTCTTGTAAAGCACGCACCCTGAAATGGTGGGCTGGCATTCTCCCTCCAAGGGACAGGGGAAACCACTCCCTTACTGGCAGCCGGCACAGCACAGCACAAGGTGGGCCCACTTACCGATGATATGCAGGTTTCCGTTCCGCAGCTGACCTCCAGGCTGCTGTGTCGGGGTCCAGGCTGGGGCCTGTTGGCTTCTGCTTGAAAGCTCCGTGGTGGGTGATCTCGCAGGGGGTGCTGGGGGTGGATTTAGCTTCCCCCCACTGGTCCCTTATAGAAAAGATGCCAGTGTATTCAGATACAGGAACGGGGAACAGCAGATGCTATACCTCCTGGGAGAAGTGAGGTACTGAGGTCTCTGGGTGTCATAGAATCTGGTGGATAAAAGGGCTGCCTCTGGGGCTAAGCTGCTTGGGACTGAATTCCAGCTCTCCTGCTGGGATAATGACAACCTCTTTGTGCCTCTGTTTCCTCGCCTGTAAAACAGTACACACACCTCCTAGGGGTGTTGAGAGGGCTGAATGAGTAAAGTGAAGTGAAGTGGCATGCAGTAGGGTTCAGTCAATGTTAGCTGCTGTGACAATGTGATTGATGAGGGCAACCTTCAGGATCAGAAGGCACAGCTCAAAGAGGGGAACCTCTGCCGAGTCAGCAGAAAGGGAAGGGCTGTCTGTAGGTGAGGCACGGAGGGAGGCGAGGCGAACAAGCTGTGGGGCTTGCTCCCGTCCCCGGGGTTCTGCTTACTCGGGTTCCCTGCCTTGCAGACCCTGCCTTCTCCCTCCAGTCAGCCTAAATCCACCCCGCCCACCACAAAATGTCCACCATTACAACCTCTTTCTCGCCGCCTCCCCCCGCCCAATCTAAGGCACTGGTTTTCTCACCACCCCGTGAACACTTCAGAATCACAGGCGGCTCACCGGGATGAATGCCCTTACGGCCACCAGTCCGTTGAAAAGCGAATGCCTCGAACCTTATCTCCTGTGACCAAGGGCCTTAAAAATATCCTTGCCCTTTGTACCAGGAATTCCTTTTGAGGAACCTGTCCTTTCAAAATACCCAAAAGGTGGATGACAATTGCTACAAAAGTGTTTCCTGCAATACTAGTCACAATAACAAAAAATAGAATCAATTTAATACTAGTAATCTGGTAAATGCTGATGATCTTATTAATATGCTTATGAGTAAACATTAACAACTTGACAAAACTGTTTATAATGTAATATTAAATTAAAACAACATAGAAAATTGTATATCCAAAATAGTAGTAACTTGGTAAATCTGTAGATATTTTTGAAAAAAAAATGAAGTACACCCAAATATGACAGCTTTTATTTCTGGGTGATGTTACTGTAGGTGATGTCAATTTCTTTCTATTTGCTCTACAGTGAGCTTGTGCTATTTTTAATTTGAGGAAATACATTTAGGAAACCTTCTGCATGAAAAGATTTTCTTAAAGACCAAGGGATATGTGTGCATGTGAGTGTGGATGTGTGTTGGGGGGTGTGTGTGTGTGGATGTGGTGATTACGAGCACGTGTGGATGTGTGGGTGTGGATATGTGTGTATGGGCGTATACTTTCCATTTGGAAGGACACCAGAGGTGAACGAAGCTTCCCTGTTATGTGGAAATCAGTTATGGACATGCATGCTCAATCCAAAAATCCTCTCTGCTAGGTATGTGAAGGAATTATTCTTAATATTTGGCTCGAAATACAGACCCTTAATTTTCTTGAGTCAGCACGAGAACGTGCCAAAAAGAAGACAGAAGGCTACTGTAATCTGCCTAGGGCCAGTGCAGACTGTGGCTGGGAGCCAGGCTGTATAATAACTCAGGCAAAAATTACACTAGACACCTGGTTCTGGAAACAAACTGCATCCACAGCCCCCTCCACTGTAGACAGGAGATTCGGGTGGATGAATGACGAGAGTCAGAATGAATAACCCTTCTCTAGAGCTCAGTGCTGCCAGGCCCGGCTCCAGCAATCACAAGAGGTGGGAAATATTGCTGTCCCCATTTTACAGATGAGGAGAAGTAAGCACAGAGAGGCTAAGTGATTGTCCAGGGTCACACGGCTAGTAATGGCAAGGTGATCAAAGCCAGAATGCCTGGCCTGTGGTCTGTATGATCCTGGACAAGTCTTTCAGCTTCCCTGCCCCTTGATTTCCTGTCTCTAACACAAATACAACATGAAGTCCTATACAACAAGTTTTACTGGGCTCCATGAGGGGCACTGATAGCTCTGTTCTAAAACAAAATCCAAGAGTTAAGACATCTCAAGGTGTTCCCAAGTGGCTCTGCTCTAGGAGCAGGCCTCTGGCTGTGTCCCTAGCACCTTCATAATTACTGGTGAGGGTTGAGTGATCCTCGGACCCAGCCACCCTGGACGAGAAGACTGGTGCTTACCTGGGCCTCGGCCGGGCCTCTTCTTCTGCAGGAATGGCTGGGATCCTGGAGGGGCTGGTGGCGCCGGCAAGGCCTGCATGCTGGACTTGGGTGGCTGGACCTGGAAGTTGGGAGACTTGGGGGGCAGCAGGAGTGGGGCTTCGCTGTTGTTGTTAGCTCCTGGCAAAGGAGGCACAGGCACAGAGGACCTCGGGGTACAGGAAGCATAAAGAGGGGGTGGGGGTGGTGGAGGGGGTGGGGCGGGAGGCTCCCGAACATCTTGGGCAGTGAGCCCAGGATACCCACAAGGTGGGAGGAGAGGGAGTGGGGGTGGGATGGGCGGCAGGTGCAAGGGGGCTAGCTGAGGCTTCATGGCCTTGTCACTGAGAACAGAGGCCAGGGGGGGTGGGGGTGGTGTTGCGGGAAGGGGTGGGGGCAGAGGGGGAGGGGGCGGTGCAGAGGGGAGAGGGGGTGCAACCCCTGGGGTGTTCCCTTTGGTGGGCGGGCCAGGTGGGGACACCAGCGGAGCTTTGGTGGGGGAGGAAGGGGGTAGGGGTGGGGGTAGGGGTGGAGGAGGTGGGGGCGGGGTGGGAGGCGGTGGGGCAGGCATGCTGGGGCGAGGAGGGACTGTCCTGGAGGTGCCATGAGCCTCAGAGGCATTGCCTAGCCTGGGAGAAGCAGGAGGGTTAAGTGGGCCACTGAGAGTTTTCGTGGGAAGCCGGGGAGAAGGTGCACGGGAGCCAGGGGCCTGCCCTGTTTTGCCACCTGGAAGTGAAACAAGTTCTGAGTCAGCTCAGAGACAGAGGAAGGAGAAACCCAAGTTTGCAGGTAGTGATGACAGACACCATCCAGCATGATGTCCGTGAACTGCATGGCGGACGCTGTCATCCTGCAGGTTCACCCAAAGCCTCAGGGGCAGCAGCTCACATCCCAGGTCAGGCCACCAGACTGTGGTGCAGGACCAGCTTTCCTGTTCCATCCCAACTCTGCCCTCGCCTGACAAGGGCCCAGCAGTCTCCCGGCCCAGGGCACTGGGCTGCTCTGACCTCCTTCGCCCTTCCTCATTTCAAGGCCATCCTCACACTTATTCACCATTACCCACTGGGTCAATCCAGTTGGGGACCCAGCCCTCACATCCTGTTTGGATCTTCGGGTGTACCAACCGGAAGCTCCTTGCTAGGGAGGTTTTCTCACTTCCAGCATTATGTGAACATTCATTTTCTACATCAAGATCAGAAGATGAATCATTCCTTGTATAAGGTCACTCAGAAGTCAGTGGGAAGACACCCTGCCTTGGGGATCCAGGTCCAATGACCTCGAACCTCCCAGTTCCATGGCCTCTGGAAGTTCAAAGTTTCTTTTCTGAAAGACATGCCCATTTCCAACAGGTTCTCTGTCTCCTGGCCTCCTGGCTTCCTTATCCCACAGATCCACGAACCCCAACTTGAAACCAATGCCTCTTTGGAACTCAACAATGGCACACTCCTCACAGCAATGTGTGTTCGGTGTGCTTCACGGAAGACTGGGTGGAGGTGCTCCCTAGGAGGGGCCTCGTCACTCTTTGCACAAAGCCCCTTCACTGTACTGCTACCCCCTTTCTCACATGGAGAAGAATGTTCCTCTCCCCATTTACTAAATCATGGAAGTTCTGCGATCACTGCTTATATGTGTCCTTGGAGCATCACTGTCCACCCAGGAGGCATGCTATTAATACCCCTTCCAAACAAATACAGTGCTCTCCTGAATGGAATTCCGGGGAATCTATCTTTTCCTGTTCTCCCACCCTTATATTTTATTACCCCTCTGAAAACATGTGGAGAGCACGTGAAAAGATGGTTGCTTCTCCTACCTACAGCTTCCCAGGTGTTGCAGAATAAAAAACACAGCTTTCAAATCAGATTATAAACCCCAGCCTCTCGTGGCGGTTCTGAGCTTTTCAGCTCAGAACTGAGTCTCCAGTTGTGTTCACCCAACCAGGTGCAAGATCGTACCCCAGAGGACTTGATGCCGAAAGCCAGGCCAATCAAAGTGAGGTGTGGCAGAGGTGATGCTGGGGCTGAAACTCAGTGGGCAGGATGGCAGCATCTGGCCTTCCCCAGGGATGCCCCTCATCTGGCTATGAGGTGATAGTTACCTGGGCAGCACTACTCATTGCAAGTCTCAGCTATGGAATGGCTGCTCTTGGGGCAGGGTGGTGATGTCACCATTCCTCTGTTGAGGGTTTTCTTTGGGGCCGTTCCAGAAGAGATAATATCTTCCACCCTGTCTGACTTGATTCCCCTTGGGATCAGCTGGCTGACCGTGACCAGGAGGGAAGGCCCCCCACCTGGCCTTTCCAAGGACAGGACCTACCTACCACCCACAGCTCTAACGTTTAGACATTTTACGTGAGGTTTAGAGTAGGTGTCAGGCTCAGAGATTCCTGCCTCCAAGCCTGTTTCCATAGTCCACAGAGATGAAGATGGAGGACCAAGGCAGTCCCTAACAAGGCAAGGCCTCCCTATATGCCTACTCGTTCCATGAACTTTAAAGGGCTACCAAGTTTGAGGAGCAGAATCAGCCCCTGATTAACCAATGCAGACTTTTGAAGTGACTGAGGACACACCATGTGCCCAAGACTCAAAAACTCTTAGAATGAGTGAGTTAAAAGTGCAGAAGCTTCTGTTTACTAAGCAGCCAAGCAAATGAGAAGTGGGCAAACCTATTTTTACTATGATGTGAACAGCAGAGGCAAGGCAGGCACAAGTCCTCATTTGGCTTACGCTCACGCCCACTCCAGGACGTGGCAGAGAGCCGCCAAACCAGCGGACAGGGCCAAGGGAAGAAAGTGCCAAGGGGAGGGAGGAGGAGGCTTTCCTTCATAACATAAATGCTAACTCCAGAAATCCAAGGAGAAACACAAAAGGTCACTCCTTCAGAATGCTAAGCCAGGACCACATTATGACTTTTGAAGACATTTTATGGCTGCATTGCTATAAAGACAAATACAATCTTTGACTCTAAACTTTCATGTTTTATTTTCTGATTTAAAAAGATATCCAAACATTTTCATGGACTGCCAAAAGTACTGTGAGCACGAGCCTCTGTGCTTTCTGGGCCTGATGGCTCTAAGCAACCATCCCACCCACTCCCGCATTCCATTTAACAAATATTTACTGAGCACCTACTATGCGTCTGTACTTCTGTGAAGAGAAACTAGTGGACATTTTATATCACACAGGATGTTTATTTGATACCACTCAGGAATTTTGAAAAAGAAGGCGGCACTGGGAAATGCCAACACTCTTTGCTAAACCCTTAGCAAAAAAAGAGGAAATGCAATGGCCTCTGAGAAGGTTCAGATTGGATCTCAAAGCATCCTAGAGCTCTTATCTTTGCTGGACTTTATCAGTAGGCGACAGCAGCAAATGCACCTCATTATGTCAAACAGCCACAGAGCCCATTGAAAAGGTTAGCACACCCCATGGCAGAAGATTGTATACCAGCAATGTTTGGGGCTCGATATTCCCTGATTAATGCAATTCTCGGAGTTTATTTCAACTTGCTGGCTAAAGAGAAAAATAATAGGAAAAACACTTCTATTACACATAATTAATATATATTTGCCCAATTTTAACACGATACTTTCAAAATATCTGATACCCACTAACACACAATGACTACAGTAGACTGGCTGAAGAAATGGCCTCGAGTATCCACTCACTCCTGATCCCGTAATCTTTGAAATGTGATTTTGCCAATCCTCCCATCGAGAAACGAAGTGTCTTTTCCCACCCTTGTTTCTGGGCTGGTCCTGTGACTTGGACAAGAGGGTGTGGTAGGAAGTAATATTGTGCCAACTCCAAGACTAAGCCTTAAGAGACTTTATATACTTCTGTCCTCTCTGTTGGAACCCTGCCACCAACAGGAAAAACAATCCCAATTAGTCTGCTAGACACTGAGAGACCATAAGGATGTGTCAGGCCAGTCATCTCCGCTGAGGCACCAAAGATATAAGAAATATAAGATTAGCAAAAGCCATCTGACCAAGCTGTACGTACCAGAGGGAGCCTAGCTGAGACCACCCTAAATTGCCAACCACAGAACTGTAAGCTAGACACATGGTCGTTTAAGGTCCCTAAGTTTTAGGGTATTTTGTTATGTATAATAACGAAATACCCTACTGATAACAATACCCAGCTGATAACAATGACTGATGCATTACGGTGACATCACTAAGATTTTTCTAAAGTGCTTTATACCTTTTGTCTGTACTTTGCAGTCTGGGCCCCAATCACACCACTGCTAAACACTACACACTGTGGCAAGTCATTCTTCAATTATTACAATGGGATGATTTAAACAGGACGATGATTTATGGATACTTCCAGGGCATGCGCCCAAATCCGCAATCTCCTGCTGTACAACTTTTCACTAAAAACGTGTCACAGTCCTCATGGCTCACAAGCATTGCCCAGTAGGTTCGACACATGAAGGAGCGAACGATCACGAGGTAGCCAGTCTGAATTCTCCCTTACCTGCCACATCCCTCTGGCCGGCTGGTCTCAACACAGGAAAGCCACCAGCAAACAGGTCTCCCAGGCTTGGGGGTGTGCTTCCGCCTCGAGAGTTTGCAGACCCTCCTCCTTCTTTGTTGATTCCTTTAGAACCTTTGCAGAGAAGAGGCAAGTAAATGAGGACTTGTGAGGAGAGCTGAGCAGCCCATTCAAAGCCTGGGGCAGTGATCCAACAGCGCTGAGGCAGCCTTCCCGTCCTCCCACCTCCAGCCTTACCCTTCCAGTGGGCATCTTTCCCAAACCCCTCTGCCTGGTGACCCCGCAGACTCATGTGCTCACGCCTGTCTGCTACTCTCTGTGGACCGACCTAGGAACCAAAGACCATTGGTAGCTGAGCACCCTGAAAAGTGACCCAGACAAAGGGACCTGAATGCTGCCATTCCCCAGATGCCTGTGGGGGGAACTGGCAGCACCTTTCAAATGAGAACACCCAAACGTTGTAGGTGGAGTGCTGGCCCTATTTTCAACTCGACTGTTGCTGTGGGAGGCCCAGACAGAGAAAACACACAGATTTAGTTTAGTCAGTAATTGTAACTTCTTGTCCGCAGAGTCTGGCCCAGGACTGCAAGCAGGAAGTGAGGTCTGCAATGATGGGTGCTTTGGCATTTTCCTTCTCAGTCTCCCCAGCATTTACCCCCTACACCCCACACCCTCCCCTGCATCTTTCCTTCTACAGAAGAGAAAGCCTGTGAAACCCTGGGGGAGAGGTGTCACTAATTGTGGCCTTCCAGGTGCGTGTGATGACCAACTCCATTCAATGAGAAGACATTTGGCTTAGACAAGAATTTCTAGCAAGAAATGTTCACAGCCTGAAGCTAACTTGCACAGAGGAATCAGGGCACAGTGCCCACTGGTGGATGAATGCATTTAGATTATTCCGAGTATTAATATATACTACCTATCCACTGGAATGATTAGGGAGTGAGTATTCCAATCAAATGGGTTTATCTGGTAATTGGGCTTAACCAATTAGTGGGTCTAACTGGAAATGAATTTTTATTGCAATTGTTGAAAATATTTCTTAAAATGATTTATCTATCCCTGTATACTAAAATATATAATTACAGATACTAGATACAATTATATTTTTAGGACTATCTTTGAGAGTTACCATCATGTGCATCATTGAAAACTATATGAAGATATAATAAGAGATGACATTGATAAATAGTTCTGCACAGATTATTTCAACCTTCAGCAATCTTGACCAGAAAAAAAAAAAAGCAGATATTACTACCTCCCCCATTTTGTGGATGAGCGGACTGAATCTCAGAGAAATCCCCAGTTGCACCTGGTAGCAGACTCGGGACTCAGCCCCGGTCATGTGACCCAAGCACAGGGCCCCTCTTAACTCTGTACATAGAAAGCGCAGTCATGGGATTCTATGAGAGAATTCTGAATACATCTTTTTTCCTTGCGAACACAAAAATTTGGCATACTTTAATGCCGAGACTTTAGTTTTTCTCTCTTTGAGAACTAGGTGGATGCAGGGTAAGCTATCTTTAGAGGGTATCTCACTGTGGATGCACACAGAGTGGAGTAGCCAGATGACAGAATATTAGTCAGCAATAAGGAGTAAAGACGGGGCACACGCTACGGCATGAACGAACTCTGAAAACATGCTAAGTGAAGGAGCCAGTCACAAAAGGCCACATACTGTATGATTCCGTTCACATGTATATCCCCAAGAGGCAAACCCACAGAGACCAGCTGCCAGGGACTGGGGGAGGGGCGGAATGGGGAGTGACATGTAATGGGCATGGGGTCTCCTTCTGGGGTGACGAAAATGTTCTGAAACTAGACCGAGGTGATGGTTGCAACCACATTGTGAATGTACAAATGCCACTGAAATGGACACTTTAAATGGCTAAAATGGTGAATTTGATATGTATTTTATCACAATTAAAAAAAAAAGGTATCCCACCATGAATTTGCTCGTTTGTTTGTTTGTTTAGCATTCAAACAGTGGTAGAAGATCTGCTCTAAACCATCTGTACACCTGGAAAGGAGCTCTGACTCTCTCACTCACGTGGCCCATACATCGTGCAAGTCCGCGAAGGCCCAAAGTGCATCCTGGGTAACAAGTGTTGCCCCTGCCCTGAGCAAGCCAGCGGTGCCTGGCTGAGCCCCACATGGCCTGCCCCTGACTCACGGCAGGCCCGGCCCAGCTGCTCACTTACTCTCAATCTGTGGGGCACTGCGGTCATTGATCTGTGTGACTTTCCGTAGGCGAGTTCCTTGCTGGATATCAGCCAACAGTGCACTCCGACTTTTGGGGTCTGCCTTTCTCAAGCTGGAAGCGTCTGTACCTACCTGTAAGGGAACAAGAGGGATTTGATTATAACCACATATAATACCATAATCTACTTTTTGCTAGTACAACTTCCTTGTGTCCCACTCCCTTCTGCCTATAAAAGTCTTTCAATTTGTACAGCTCCTTGGGGCTCTCTTCTATCTGTTAGATGGGCTTTCTATCTCTTTTCTCTGTTAGATGGGCTGCTGCCCGATTTCATAAATCACTGAATAAAATCAGATCTTTAAAATTTACTCAGTTGAATTTTGTTTTTAAACATTTCCGCTGTAGCTTGGGCTGACATGGTAGGGGTGTCCATGGGATCGCAGCACCAGGGAGCGCCAGACAGAACGGATGCAGGTTGGCGGCAAATAAGGGGAGGGGTAGGATTGCACTGGGAGACACAACCAGGAGGAAACACAGAAGGTTTATACCATGTGCATGGAGACCTGGTTAAATAGTTCTCAAAGCCAGAAATACTTCTTAGCACCTGCTCTATAGGAGGTACCATGTGTCTTTAGTTTTCAGCTGAAATATCACGACTTCAGAGGCTTTTTCTAACCCTCCAGTCTAAGTAAGGCCCCGCAGTGTTCTCTCTTCGGGTACCATCTTTCTTGTTCCTCTGCAATTCCTATCACCTTGTATAAATTTATCTTTCCTTGTGGAAAATGGCAATTCGCAGTTACGAGTTTAAGGTTCACCACCCCACAGGACCGTGTCAGGAGAAAGATCTTATTCGTTTTGTTCACAAATGCATTTCTTTTTTTTTTTTTTTTAGATTTTATTTATTTATTTGACAGAGAGACACAGTGAGAGAGGGAACACAAGCAGGGGGAGTGGGAGAGGGAGAAGCAGACTTCCCGCTGAGCAGGGAGCCCGATGCGGGGCTCGATCCCAGGACCCTGGGATCATGACCTGAGCCGAAGGCAGACGCTTAACGACTGAGCCACCGAGGCGCCCCACAAATGCATTTCTAGAGAGAGTAACAGGACCTGTCTGCAGATAGGCATATCTGCAGTGACTACCAGACGAATGAATGAGTGAGTGAACTAGACCCCGGATGTATAGAATACGCTGCGCTTGCCTTCAAGGGCATGCGTGCGTGCCAGAGAGACGGGACACACGTGCATGGAATTAAGCCACTACATAATGCAGTACATGACGTAAGTCCTACAGAGAGGAAAGCCACCAGGAGTTCAGAAATGGCCATATTTGTCAGGCCACAAGGAAGATATGAGACTTTAAGACGGTCCTCGAAGTATAGATAAGATTTACAAATCCTTGCTCTAGCCATTTTCTGTTCAGAAAAGGACAATTCAGCTTTGTCGACTATATAGTCAGAGACTCTCCAGTGTCACAGGCTAGAATCAAGGGCAATTGCAGTTTTAGCTAAAATGTGCTGAGAGTGCATTTCTACTGGCTGAGTCTACTGCACTGGCGAGGCATCTTCCGCAGGCTTTGAAGGGCATATGCTTCTTGTTGCCTGGAAACAAGCTTTTTGAACCCTTGAGGGGGGCTCATGGATCATGGTCAATAATAGAGCGATAAGCAAAGGGCCCCAACCCTAATGATCACATGGTTTTTAGAATGCATTATTAATGCACATGTACAACAGGGAATTTCTCATACAACATGCTTTTAAAAAGTCTATATAAACAATTAATATCAATAAATAATTTTAAACTGCAAAGTTTTAAGATCTTTAAAGTCTCTCATTTTATTTATAAGTAGTTAATGACAAGAATAAAGAGCCAACAGAAATATCATGACTCTAGTCAAGAGGGTATGAACATTTTTGCAAAAATCTAGCATTACAATATCAGACATGTACTATGGTCAGGGATTAGAAGGACAGAGTGCTTTGTAGCTTTCTTCCTATTTACAAGATAAATAACACACTGAATTATGATGGTAGTCATGGTCCAACTCAGGTGATAGCCTTGGGGAAGGTAAAGGTTAGAACGGTGCATTCTTCTGCTTAAAGAAGCAGCTTGACCCATGAACAAACCTTATAGCTAATAATCCTGGGGTGGGAGTGGGTCATCTCATCTAATTTAAACTTGACTGTTTATTACCGAAATGTATCCCCTACTCCCCAAACCCAAACTTGCCCATCCCAGGCTTTTTAGGTGACGGCTATGAAGAAGGTTATATGTCCTTGGAATAATTATTTTAATTTGAGTACCTACTTAGCACAGGCCTCAATAGGTTCTTGATGATTCCACATCACAAATGTGTAGATAAACATCTTCCAAATCAGCAGGAGGATACGGCGAGTCACATCACGTGTACATGCTGCAGTTCAATTTGCTGGACTAAATTTAACATTCCTTCTTTGACTTCTTGGCTTCCTTTCCCGCTGCACTAGTTGGCCCTGATGACTTTCCACTAGAGGGCTCTCCCTCCCCTGATACTGAGCTGGTATCAGTCAAGTCTCTCCTGCAAGGTCAAGAACCAGTAACTTCAGGGCTAGGGTGACCCTAGAGATTTAGGCTTAATGGGTTTTGTACAAAAGGACATCTAAGGACATATTCATTTGCACACTGAAAACTGTATTACACCGTGACAGTCTTTTCTACTCCACCTGCAATATTTTTTAACAATTCACTCATAATTTGCTTTCTTAAAAAACCCTAAGAAGTCTTGTTACTGTGGTTACAAGGGTACAGAAACAGAAGAGATTTCCAGATACTCACTCGTTCTTTTATTCTATGCAAATCCTGGTTACTAGCAATGTCACCAAAAGTATAATCAACAGAGAAAAAGCCACTCCTGGACACTTTTCCTATGGTAATTTTTCCACTAAACATGCCTCCCTCACGGTGCGTGCACAAGTGGGTGCGCAAACACACACACACACACACACACACACACACACACTCACTCATTCAGGAAACCATTACTTCAACGTTTGTTCTTGTTCTTTCTCCACATTGTTATTGAGTGTGACCATCTGTTGAGTTGCACATAAACCTTTTGTGGACTCAGTTCCCCCACAGTGAGCTCCAAATGGAGTAGCTTGGATCCCAAAAAGATGCAAAGTAGCAGAAGAGCAATGCAAATGAACCCATCCTGAGCCGTCCAAAGGCTGAAGAACTGAAGTGAACCAGTAAGATCACAAACAAAAACTGACTGACAGTTCTAACAGAGCCAAGGGTGGTGAAGTGTCTGTTCTCCCATCTTGCTAAATTAGAAAAGCTTTCGCATGTCCCTTTGTCATCCCAGCAAATGAGCTGATCTGGTTTCAGTGTGGTTGGGGGTGGGGGGTGGGGAATGGCAGTCCAGCCCAGAAATGCATGTCCTGCTGTTTGTCACACTGCTACTATACGCCATTCCTGCATCTGTCTGATTCATACTGATTTCTGTGAGAAACATTAATAAAAACAATCCAGCCGGTTAATCCAAATCTAGCAGGTTGTTTGTCTCAAGGATGATCTAAACCCTACCATCTTCATACAATTTCAGCTTTGCAGCTTCTGAAAGGTACATTCTCCAAGGTAGCTGTTAGACCTAAAATTAGTTCTCAGATTTCCAGGCACACAGCCTGCTCATTCCCTTGGCCCTCAGCCCGCTCCTGCCTTCCACACCTGGGGGCAGACAGCTCTCAGCAGCCAGAGTACTTGGATTTCAGGACCAAACCTGAGTCCCCAGGCCAGCCTGAATAGCACTGCCTCCCCCTGCCACTACCATCTTGCTGGAGGAGAACACGGGGAGCCTGGGATATGAAAGACAGACATGAAATATTTTCAGAGAAAAGTGACACAATGTTCCCTACACCCCAAATGTGCTTAAGTGAGGCTGTTCTAGAATGAAGGGTACTGGGGTCTAACAGTGTTAGGTCTCATTTTCAGAAATCCAACTATGCAATTAAAATCCACACTATAACCTCCTTTTCTATAGCCTGGTTTCCTGAACGACGGCACACAGACCGTGATGTTCCCTTGAGTACCCAGCCGCCTCCCAGAGTCACTTCCTTTACCAGGAGGGTGAAAGCGGCACAACGGGCCCAAAATGGAGCCACCTGCCCCTCCAAGACAGCAAACCAAGACTTAATTTTAGTTTTAGCCCCTCCCGGGAATGTGACCTTTACCCAGTCAATCTGGGTTGACCCCACCAGCACTAGTGAGGTCATTTGTGTGACTGACCCCTGCCCTTCACCTTGTCTGAAATACTCCTTTCTTTTATGACTTCCCTCTCCCACCCATTTTCTGCCTTTATTTGTTTATTTTTTAAGATTTTATTTATCTATTTGAGAGAGATCACGAGCAGGAGGACGGGCAGAAGGAGAAGCAGGGTCCCCGCTGAGCAGGGAGCCCAGTGTGGGGCTCGATCCCAGGACCCTGAGATCATGACCTCAACCGAAGGCAGACACTTAACCCACTGAGCCACCCAGGCGCCCCACGTCCCTTTCCGCTTTTAAAAACCTTCCATTTGGGGCGCCTGGGTGGCTCAGTGGGTTAAGTGTCTGCCTTCGGCTGGGGTCATGATCCCAGGGTCCTGGGATTGTGCCCCGTGTCAGGCTCCCTGCTCAGCAGGGGAGTCTGCATCTCCCTCTGCCCCTCCCCCTGCTTTCTCTCTCTCTCTGTCAACAAATAAATAAAAAATCTTAAAAAAAACACAAAAACCTTCCACTTGGTACGGCTCCTCAGACCTCCCTTCTATTTGCTAGATGGGATGCTCCTTGATTCCTGAATTGCTGAATCAAGTCTATTAGATCTTTAAGTTTACCTAGCTGAATTTTGTGTTTTAACAGGAGGCAAAGCAGAATTAGGGCCCTTTCGTTGGAGCTCTAGGTGTGTCTGTTCCTATTCTCTACACCCTCAGGGAAGTCCATTCCCTGGAGTAATCTCCTCCCCTGGAATGACTGGCTACCGTATGTTGGCAGCTACCTCCTTGCCCAAGGGCCGGGAGGCTATCTCGGACCTTCCCTCTTCCTCATTCCCTACAGCTATCCAGTCACAAACTCCTACTGATTCTTTTTTTTTTTCAAAGGAAAAAGGTTTAATATAAAGATTCAAGATTCACATCATGATAAATGATCTAAAATTGAGTACCTTCTTGTGACAAAAGTTCAACTTTTGCATATTTTCCCTATTTAACTTATCCTGCCATCATTTTTCCTGTTTTTCTATTACTTTCACCCCACCTCTCCTTATGGTTACATTGACAGATTCCCTCCCTCTCCCCATTAGTTTAAAAAGCCTACTCTTGCACAAACTACAGTGATTAACACTAATTTTAACACACCCTTTAACTTCACCAACATCTAAGTAGTATCTGTAACCTTCCTTTCCCCTACTCCCCAAGTACACTGTTCACAGTCCATCCTCCTGGGTAGAAATGTGGCATTTTAATTTCGTTTTCCTTTTTGACTCTTGCTGTGGGAAGAAGGTAATATATATTGTGTGTATGTGTTTATAGTTATCGTAGATTGCTAAAGTATATCCTCCAGTAATTTTTTCAAAGAGGGTATGCAAGAAACAAACTTTGTGAATTCTTTGGTATCAAAAAATGTCTTTGTTTTACCTTCAAAATCAAATGCCAATTTGGCTGGGTATAGGATTCTAGGTGTAAAGCCTTTTGCCTGCAGAACTTTTATGACATTGCTCCACTGACTTCTAGCATTTAGAGTATCTAATGATAAGTCTGTGGTCAATCTGATTCTTATTCCTCTGTAGGTTATTTCTCTTTTTCTGGAAGCCTTTAGAATTTTTTATCACTGGAATTCCCAAATTTCACCAAGATGTGTCTAGGAGTGAGTCTCTTCTCATCAATCTTACCAGGTATTCGGTAAGCACTGACAACATCAAGACTTGAATCCTTTAGCTCTGGAAAGTTTTCTTCAATGATTTCCTTAATTATTTCCTCTGCTCCATTCTCTTTATTATCTTTTTCTGGAATTCCTATCAAACGGATGTTGGAACTTCTGGATCTATCCTCTATGTCTCTTGACCTTTCTTTATTTATTATCTGTTTGGCCATTTGCATTGTATCCTTAGAGAATTCTTCAATTCGGTCTTCTAGATTGTCCATTCTCTCTTCAAGTGCGTCTATTCTGCTATTCAGAACATCTATTGAGTTTTTTATTCCCAAGACCTCTGGAAGGTAATTTTTAAGATTTGCAACCTCCTCCTGTAGCTCTCTAAAGTTGTTAATTACATTTCTTCTAAAGTTTTCTTCAGTTTCTTGTATTAAGTCTGTTTCTTTAGATGTTCGCTCATCTGTTAGCAGAGTTTTGTGTCACTCTTTGTCAGCTTTCCTTAAAAATTTGGTGATTCCTGGGACGCCTGGGTGGCTCAGTTGGTTAAGCGACTGCCTTCAGCTCAGGTCATGATCCTGGAGTCCCGGGATCGAGTCCCACATTGGGCTCCCTGCTCGGCGGGGAGTCTGCTTCTCCCTCTGACCCTCTTCCCTCTCATGCTCTCTATCTCTCATTCTCTCTCTCAAATAAGTAAATAAAATCTTAAAAAAAAAAAGATCATAAAAAAAAATTTGGTGATTCCTGATGGAGTACTCGAATTTGTACTTAAATGCCTTTTCTGCTTATCAGAACTTATCTTTAGTGATTTTGAGGGAGAGGCCAAACGCAAGGTCGGACACACTGTCCCAACTCCTTGGTTTCTGGGCATAGCTGTTTCCTTTTTATTCTGGGTTTTTTGTACCATCTGGTGTTTCACCAATTTTTTCTTCTCAAAGTCCTGAGCCAAATAATCATAGGCAATTTCTTTGAGTCCATCTGAGGCCTCTTTTTTCTCATTCTGGGAGGCAGTCTTTACATTTTCTACCTCAGAGTCCTCTCCTTCCTCCCATGATAAAACTACTTCCATTTCCCACTCTGAACCTTTTTCTTCTGGCTCAGAATCTACCCCTTTAATTAAAACAATCCCCAAACCATTATTTTTTTCTTCAACTACACATTGTGTATTTATCTCCGAATAACGCTGAAAGTTTGAATCCTGTTTCTCATGTAATACTGAAGCCTCTTCTCCCTCCTCCTCCAGCCCTGAAGCCTCTTCTTTCGGCTCTGAAGACTCTTCTTCCTGAATTTCTAAGTTCTTCACCTCCTCTGGCTCAGCAACCTTTACTTCTTTAACAAATAGAAAGCTCAAGCCATCACTGGCTTCCCCCTCAGCTCCATGCTTCAAATCTAGTAGAGTTTTTTCCACTTTTTCTTGAATCCCATACCTTCTTCATTTTTTCCTTTTGTGGGAGTACATCTTTCAGTAATTCGTTCATAAATGGTTTTTGGCTAATAAAATTGCTGAGACTTTGCATATCTGAAAAGGTCCTTACTTCACCATCACACTTAAATGTTAATGTAACCTGGCATAGAACTTTAGGTTCAAAATCATTTTCCCTCAGAATGTTGAAGACGTTACTCCATTGCTTACTAATGTTCAGTGTTGCTGATGAAAAGTCTGCCACCAACCTAAGTACTGCTCCTTCATCTTCTCTGGAGGTTTTTAGAATTTTCTCTTTATTCTTTAAATTCTAAGGGATTTTTTCCTCTCTTTTTTCTCTGACCAGCTCATCCTCTCCAATCTCTTGGTTCTCTCGTGTTACTTCTGTATGGATACTACGATCTCCCCAAGTGTTGTCTATATTGCTTATGGCTTCTTCCACACTTTCCATGACTGTCATTTTTTGATTCATCATGGGACAATTCCTTACCTTGGTTCATACTGTACTTCTTCAGCTTTATCTAATTTGCTACTCAGGTCACTTACTTCTTTTCTTTTAAAGGTCAAATTTTCAGTATCTTCAACTATTTCAGAGTTTGCTCCTTCTATTTTCTCTACCAACCCTGTTT